GTAGAACAGTAGTTCAGTAGAACAGTAGTTCAGTAAACTAGTAGTTCAGTAAAACGGTAGTTTACCCATAGTAAAACCATAGTTTGATAGTAAAACGATATTTTAGTAGTAAAACGATAGTTTAGCAGTAAAATGGTAATTTACCCGTAGTAAAACAATAGTCTAGTAATAAAACGATAGTTTAACAACTTTAAATCATAACTTTCAACTTTATCAATCAACAAAACATATAATTAAATCAAATCTCATCCAATCATACCTTTTCAGAAAACGATTCCCCACAAAACCTTGCATTACAATATTTTTATCGTTTTCAAGGAGCAGGTTTCAATTTTAGAAAAGAAAAAAAGAAATGACTGAGTTCAATAAAGAAGCTATAACACAAGCAAAAGCTCTCAAAACAAGCTATCAAAAGATTTTAAAAAACTCTAGTCATTCTAGAGTCAAACTCTAGCCATTCTAGAGTCAAACTCCAATCATTCTAGAGTCAAACTATTCATTCTAGAGTCAAACTCTAATCATTCTAGAGTCAAACTCTAGTCATTCTAGAGTCAAACTCTAGTCATTCTAGAATCAAACTCTAGTCATTCTAGAGTCAAACTCTATCCATTCTAGAGTCAAACTCAGTCATATTTCATTTTATAGTCAAAAAAAGTGTAACATTTGAACCAATCAAGTTTTTGAGAAATAGAAAACGATTCCCTTCAAAATTCTATCAAAATTCTATCGAAATCAATCAAAAACTTGTTTCCAAAATAGACTCGAGTAACAATAGTGTCATCTTTTTCAGGAAAAGAATCGTTTTTATCTAAAAATATTGTTGCCGAGTTTGACGAATATTTTTCACCTCTTTTCTCTCCATTTTCCCACTTTTCTCGAAAAAAATGAGAAAATAACCGGCATCTCTCTGTAATCATTTTTGGAGATCGAGAGTTGATACACTTCAATCAATTTTGCCATTCACTTTTACTCAACCAAAGTGTTTTTTTTTTTTGATTGATTTCGAATCTACTTGTAGACTTTTTTGATTCATTTCCAATTTACTTGTAGATTTTTTTTGATTCATTTCGATTTAACTTGTAGATTTTATATTTAATCTTTAAAATGATCCATTTAGATTGTATTGATTCAATCAATCATTATTAATTCAATATTCAATACCCAATACATATTGGGTATAGTCGGCACATTAAAATATCAATTTGAGGGCGAAAGGGATTAAAGTTGAAACAAATCAAATGCAAAAGCTCAACCCCAATCAAATCTCACCCTTTCACTATCATTTAAAATCAAATATCATCATATCAATCAAAATCTAAACCTGAATCCAATTTCATCAGTTTTTGGCTCTATTTTAGATGCAATACATGCAATAGATGCAATAAATGCAATAGATGCAATAGATGAATAGATGCAATAGATGAATAGATGCAATAGATACAATAGATGCAATAGATGCAATAGATGAATAGATGCAATAGATGAATAGATGCAATAGATGCAATAGATAAGATGCACGAATAGAGAAGATCCAAGGGGTCCAGCAATAGATGAATAGATGCAATAGATGAATAGATGCAATAGATGCAATAGATGAATAGATCCAATAGGTCCAATAGATCCAATAGATCCAATAGATGAATAGATGCAATAGATGAATAGATGCAATAGATACAATAGATGCAATAGATGCAATAGATCCAATAGATGCAATAGATCCAATAGATGCAATAGATCCAATAGATGCAATAGATCCAATAGATGCAATAGATCCAATAGATCCAATAGATCCAATAGATTCAATAGATGCAATTTTCTCCAATTTCACACCTATTTCTATTTTTCTCAGTTTAATGTATTCAGAGAAATTCTCTATTCAAATAAAAAGGCGAAGAAGTTGAAAATTGACAAAATCACAAGAAAATCACAGAAGAAAAAGAATTCTGAAAGAAAGAAAGAATTCTGTTGATAGAAATTAGAGAAAAGACTTCAAAAGAGAGGAATGAAGGGAGTTTGAATCAAAAAAGAAATGATTGTGTGAATAGAAAATTGAATGGAAAGGAAAAGCGGGCAGGTAAAATGATTGTGTCAACAGCGAATGGACAAGCAAAAAAAAAACGCTTTCTGCTTCTTTTTAGCTCAATTTCCCTTCATATTTACTCATTTTTCTTCAGTTTTTTGACTTCTTCTGTCCACCCACCTATGCTCCTTTCTTTATAAGTTTTCTGGAGGTCATGAGAGGCTTCATTTTTAAAAATGCTTTCTTTTAGCTTTAATAGAAAAGTTGAGAGGTTTATTGGCCCCTGTATTTTTATATTATATATTATATTTTATATTATACGGCCAATACGGTACAGATTTGGTTTTAATATTGTTCAGGCTTGGTTTCAATATTGTTCAGAATTGGTTCCAATATTGTTCAGACTTCATTCCAATATTGTTCAGGATTGGTTTCAATATTGTTCAAGCTTGGTTCCAATATTGTTCAAGCTTGGTTCCAATATTGTTCAAGCTTCATTCCAATACTGTCCAGACTTGGTTCCAATATTGTTCAGGCTTGGTTCCAATACTGTTCAGGCTTGGTTCCAATACTGTCCAGGCTTCATTCCAATACTGTCCAGGCTTCATTCCAATATTGTCCAGGCTTGGTTTCAAGATTATCCAGATTTGGTTCCAATACGGTTCAATATTGCTCGCTGTGCTTCATCCAATATCGAATCAGCCTTCTCGATCGCTTGATCGCCCTCTTTAGTTACGAAATAACTTCAAAATCGGCTAGAAATCGTCCAGAGACATTCAAAAACCAAGATCACTTACAGATAAGCTAAATATGTTAGCATTTACCGTAATCCATTTTCTTTGCTGTACCAGCATTGATACAGAAAAATCAAAGGCTCTCGATTGTAAATTAGTTATAAATTAGTCTCTATTCATCTCTATTAATTACGAACAATTATATATTTGAATATTACTTCAAAATTGAATAAAATGAAATAAAATGAACTAAAATGAACTAAAATTGAACAAAATTGAACAAAATTGAACAAAATTGAACAAAATTGAACAAAAATTGAGTTGAATACTTAGATTAAATTCTGGAGAGCTTTTATGATCAGTTCTATGATCATTTGCTATGTTCTATGAAAGTTCTATGATCATTTGCTTAACGTTTAAACTTCAATCATGTGAAATCACTTTCAATTTTTGAGAAATTTGAAATTTTAATCACTCTTGAACATCATTCCCATCATTCCCATCATTCAAATCATTTTTTGTTTTTCTTTTCAATCGATTGACTCGAAAAGGCGATTACGGTGAGCTGTAAAGGCCGAATTTGCATGAGAAGTTGAAAATTTTTGGGTAAACTATTGAGCAAACTTTTGAACAAACTTTTGAAAAGGTTAGAAAGAATTCCCTTTGAACGTATTTATCAGAAATTCAAAGACAATTCAAAGGCCAATTCAAAGGCAATTCAAAGATGATTGAAAGGCATTTTAAAGGCATTTTGCATCTCAAAATTTTCCCTATTTCCATCAACCTTTTAAAACATTCTTTTTTTCTCTCAATTTTTAATCAAAATTTGATATACCGTATTCTCTCTAATAGTAGTGCGCACTACTATTTTTTGAACCGCCTCCTGGACCGCAATACTATTAGAGAGTGCACTACTATTAAAGAGTGCACCTCTATTAGAGAGAATACGGTAGTCTCTTCTTTTCTTTGAAAATAGTCAAATATTGTTTCTTATTTCGAAATCTAGATCGAGATTTATCAATTCAAAGTGACTTTTGTGCAAAACAAGTATCAAAAACATGCTAAAAATAGAAAAATAAATGAAAAGAGAAGAGAGAAAAGATCTTGTTTCAAAAAATTCGATAACAAGCCAAAAGATTGACTTTTTACTTACTGTGGCGAATTGCCACTGCTCTGGAGTTAGTCAAAAATTAGTCAGTTAGTCAATACAAAAGTTAAAATTCAAAGTTGATGGATAAACTACCGCAATCAGTCACTAGCTGTCCGTTTGTTGCTAGCTATTCAGCTATCACTAGCTATTCAGCTATCACTAGCTATTCAGCTATCACTAGCTATTCAGCTATCACTAGCTATTCAGCTATCACTAGCTATTCAGCTATCACTAACTATTCAGCTATCACTAGCTATTCAGCTATCACTAGCTATTCAGCTGTCCCTTTTTTTGTAGCTTGTATACTTTAAAAAAACCCGTTATTTAAGCTTTGCTTTTGAGCGAATTTGGCTCTCCTTTTAGTTCTCCTTTGTTTTTATCATCTTTTTTTCACATCCAAGTGTTGAATTAATTGTGATAGTGCCAGGTTGCTCCAGTTTGAGCGAAGTTTTGCCCTAATAAGGGAAAGTTTTGATAAACTGTGCGCTTTCAAGACAACCACTATTGAACCACACCGAGACACGGTCTCACAAGAAATTATATATGTTGTAGCCGTTTACGAAATTCAGCCGTTAACGAATCATTCCTTCATCGTCATCTTCCCTTCACCACCAAAAAAGCTATTTAGTTCCCCATTGAGCTTAGGGTTAGGGAGCCGTCTGTCATGACGTGGGTTAAGTTAAGATATAGCCTAGTATTGTGTGTGTCGTTGTATTGTGATTGATATATTTCGTGTATGCGATAAATTCACCACTGGTAGCCCCAGTCGGTATTTTTTTTTTTTAAAACTGTGCGCTTTCAAGACAACCACTATTGAACCACACCGAGACACGGTCTCACAAGAAATTATATATGTCGTAGCCGTTTACGAAATTCAGCCGCTAACGAATCATTCGTTAGCGGCTGAATTTCGTAAGCCACTACGACATATAGATCAAAGCATAAACATATATTTCTTACAACTGTCAGTCTGAGTTTTTTTTCTCAGATTCAGCTCTAAAGTTTGTATGTAAAATTTTAAAGCTTTATGTATTTGTTTAAGCTTTAAACATTGCCTTGAAATTGGAATTGATTTTTCAGAAGCACCCGCAGCGAGATGAGCTCGAACGCCGGCGAGAAGGGTTCGTTTTGACAAAAATCGAAAGCTTTTCTTAAATATATTATAAAAAGTTAACTTTTTTCTGGTTAATATAAAAATCAACATTGTAGATAAAGATTTTAATCTAATCTTTTGAAAAACAAACGACGATCTGTCGTTTGTTGTCTCAACAAACGACGATCAAGTAAACCTGCTTAACGAGTCCGGGCAAAACAAAATCTTCAGACACTCTGCCTCGCTCTTTGATTTTTTACTGCCCAAGCCTTCTTTGAGCATGAAACCCAGTTCCCCCGCAAGCCCTTATTTTAAGCTTCATTTTGGTACTAAACATGGCTAGGTTCTGTTTTGCTATTCTTTAGCTTTCGAGCATTTTTAGATCAAAATTTTTCTGGACTCGTTAAGCTTATCGAGTCCGGTGAAAGATTGATCGAAATCTAAAGAATGACAAAACAGAACCTAGCCATGTTTAGAATCAAAATAAAGCTTAGAATAAGGGCTTGTGGGGGAACTGAGTTTCATGCTCAAAGAAGGCTTGGGCAGTAAAAAAATCTAAGAGCTAGGTAGACTGTCTGAAAATTTTGCCCGGATTCGTTAAGCACGATAATTAGAAATGCTGGAGGGCTTTCAAGAACTTTTTTTTGAAACATGAAAAATTCTTCAGTTATAAGATAGGGCTAAAGCTGAAAAAACTAGAGTATTTAGAAACAATAGACTTAGAAAACCACTGAAACCGCAAAAGCCGGTAAAAGTGGAGAATATTCAGTGCGCTAGACATGGTGTGTTTATAGATTTGCGCATAAAGATTTCTAGCTAAACCTTTCTGCTCAGTTTCCTTCTTCAGGGGTGTTAGCTGATGTCAGCTGGTGTCAGCTAGTGTCAGCTGGCGTAGCTGGTGTCAGCTGGTGTCAACTTGTGCCAGCTAGCGGCAGCTAGTGTCAGCTAGTGGCAGCTGGTGTCTATTCTTGTTCTTGTTCAGGTGTTGTGAATGGATCGACCTCTCCATCTCCATCGGGCGGTCGGGTTTCCCCGTCGGATCACTTCTCGACAAATATCAATGATTTGCGGAAAAAACGAGAGAAATCGTGGGTTTTCTCATCATTTTTTCTGTCTCAACACCAATAATCTTTTCATTTTTTGTTATTATTGACTAGTTTATTGACTAGCTGTCATTGAATAGCTGTTATTGAATAGCTGTTATTGAATAGCTATTATTGAATAGCTGTTATTGAATAGCTGTTATTGAATAGCTATTATTGAATAGCTGTTACTGGATAGCTGTTATTGAATAGCTGTTATTGAATAGCTATTATTGAATAGCTGTTACTGGATAGCTGTTATTGAATAGCTATTATTGAATAGCTGTTATTGAATAGCTGTTAATGAATAGCTATCATTCAATAGCTGTTATTGAATAACTATTATTTAAGTAATTTCTTTTTGATTCATCTAATTGGGACTATTTTCACTTAACAAAAAGGTAAATTTAAACAATCTAAACAAATTTAAACAAAACAAAAAGAAACGAGCTTTTTTTTGATGGTAAAAGCTTTAAAACTACATAAATTTAATAGATTTTCAGTGAAGATTTATTCGTTAAGGCTTAGGCAATTTAAATTCAATCAATCCAATGCCAATTCAATGTCTAAAATTTATCCGATTAAACTTTTAACGATCATCATGAAACTATTTTCAAATTACTATCAGATTTTACAAGGGATTTAAAATTTAAAGCTTAAAAGTTCATCTAAAAGAATCATTTTCATTATAGAAGCAATTGATCTATCGTTTATTCGCTAAAAATTTGCCAAAAATTGAAATTAGAAGCTGAATTTGGGTTCAAAAAGCTTGTTTAAATGGAATTTTATGAGTTTTAGTGTTTACTTTTATCAAATCTTTCATTTTTTAATGTTTCCAATGTTTCTGATTTGTTTGAACTTCAAAATTTCTCTATTTCCGAATGAAACCAGCAGAGGCTTGAAAACTTGGCTTGAAAATGGCTTGAAGCTTGGCTTTAAAATGGCTTAAAACTTGGCTTTAAAATGGCCTACAGAGGCTTAAAAACTTGGCTTGAAAATGGCCAGAAGAGGCTTGAAACTTGGCTTGAAACTTGGCTTGAAGCTTGGCTGAAAAGGCTGAAACTTGGCTGAAGGCCAGCAAGGCTGAAACTTGGCAACTGGCTGGCTGGCGAAATGGCGAACTGGCGAAAGCCAGCAGGGCTGAACTTGGCTTGAACTTGGCGATGGCCAGCAGGCTGAAACTTGGCAAACTGGCGGCTTGGCGAATGGCTGACTTGGCTTGAAGGCAGCGGGCTGACTGGCTTGAACTTGGCGAAAATGACCAGCAAAGGCTTGAACTTGGCTTGAAGCTTGGCTTAAATGGCAAAACTTGGCTAAATGGCCACGAGGCTTAAACTGGCAGGGCTGCGGCTTGAAAATGGCTTGAAACTTGGCTTGAAAATGGCCAGCCGAGGCTTGAAACTTGGCTTGAAAATTCAAATGTTTCAAATAAGCATGGTTCAATTTGAATAACAAATTTCTAATGAAACCCATCTTTTTTACAAATATTCATTCTGAAAACTTTTCTAACTAATCCTTTATTCGATTTTGCAAATATTTGAACCAGTTGGACGTTTTGTCAAGCATAGTTTTTGGCGCAGTCGAGAGCGCGCTTGTCTTGTCGCTTGTCGCTTGTCACAAGAGCCCGGTTCAATCCTCGTAGTGCCAATAAATGAGTTTTTAACTCCTTATTCCTTTAACTATTTTAAATGCCCCAAAATTTAAATGCTATTTTATATTCTAAGGTTTTCTACAATATATTCTAAGAAGTTTTAGCTTTATTGGTGAAAACACGACCAAGAAAATGCTCTGAAAGACAACTCTTTTCTATATCGTTGATAGAGTTTCTTTTTTTTCAACTCTAATCGATATCTTTGCATCTTTTTTACCTTTTTTACCTTTTTTACCTTTTTTTGACTCTTTCCCATTCTCTCAACATTCACTCAACCATATCTCTTTGACCAGACTAAAATTTTCCTTTTTTTTTTTCAAAAAAGACGAACGATTATCCACCCCAAACATCATAATGATCAAAAAAGAGTGAAACCAATTTTTCCGAGTGGAAATCAGAGAATTTATTGTGAGATTTGGAACTGACAAAATTTAAACAGACAAAATTTAGAACTGACAAAATTTTAAACCGAGAAAATTTAAAAATGGCAAAATTTGGAACCGGCAAAATTTAAAGCCGACAAAATTTAAACTGACAAAATTTAAAACTAACAAAATTTAAAACCGACAAAAGTTTAGGTGAATTTTTCAAGTTTCAAATTCACGCAGATACGACAGAATTTTCTTTTCGCAATCGCATCGAGCCCATACACCGTCAGAAATTGCTAGAAGTTAGAGTTTCCTTTTGAAATTTGGGATTAAATTTGAGTCAATTTTTCAATTTTTCAGTTTTAGAAACTAAAGCAAGTGTAGAAGGATTTTCTAGATTCGATAAACTTGTAGACTTGTAGACTGGTAGACTTGTAGACTTGTAGCCTGGTAGACTGGTAGACTGGTAGACTGGTAGACTTGTAGACTGATAGACTTGTAGACTACTGGTAGACTGGTAGACTGGTAGACTTGTAGACTTGTAGACTTGTAGCCTGTTAGACTGGTAGACTACTGGTAGACTGGTAGACTGGTAGACTGGTAGACTTGTAGACTGGTAGACTTGTAGCCTTTTAGCCTTTTAGCCTCTTAGCCTTTTAGCCTTTTAGCAAAGGTAAACTTCTAGTCAAATTAAAAAGTAAATTATATTTCTAAAAATACAAGAAACTAGTCTAAATTAACAAAAAAAAATCGTAATTTCACAATTTCACAATTCCATAATTTCTTCGAAATCCTCCTTTTCAATAACGATGAGATGATCTTAGTTTTGTCGTTTCTTAAGCGGATTTTTCGGATTTATCGGATTTTTGGGATTTTTGGGATTTTACTGAATTTGTCGAAGGTAATCAAGAAAATTGCAAAAACTTTTCACAAAACCAGAAGCAAAAATCGATTGGAAAAGATATTCCACTTATTAAATTCTCTAAATTAAAGTCAAAATTCGTTCTCTAAAGCGCGAAACTTCCGAGTGCATTCTCGCTTTCGTGCCGACGTTTCGTGGGAAAGTTTCGAGTGAGGAAATGGGGCGGACAAAGTAATTTCAATCGCAATTTCAATTTAAAAACGATAAGCTTATCAAAATCACTCTAATATGGTTTATTTAAGAATAGCAGTGTACTTTTTACTCAAATCTGCTCACAAATCTTTTCTGATACACTGAAATCTTCATTTCTCTTGGTGACAAGAGAAAAATGAAGAATCGACTGGTAGACTTGTAGACTGGTAGACTGGTAGACTGGTAGACTGGTAGACTGGTCTTCCGAGTGACTTCCGAGTGTCGACGTTTCGTGGGAAAGTTTCGAGTGAGGAAATGGGACGGACAAAGTAATTTAAATCTAAATTTCAATTTCAACTCCAACTCCAATTCCAATTCAAATTTCAATTCCAATTTCAATTTCAATTTCAATCCCAATTTCAATCCCAATTTCAATCCCAATTTCAATTTTAAAATGATAAGCTTATCAAAATCACTTACACATAGTTTATTTAAGATTCCCAGTGTACCTTTAGCCATATTAGATTAAAGAAATGCAGCCATATTAGATTAAAGATTAAAAGACCAGATTAAACCAAATTTCAATATCTTCATGGGATTTCAATCTGCTAACTTCGATCTCTTTCCGTCAAAAGATCAACTGATCAAACTACTCGCCGATCGTATTGGAACCGTATTGGAACAGTATTGGAACAGTATTGGAACAGTATTGGAACAGTATTGGAACAGTATTGGAACCGTATTGGAACAGTATTGGAACAGTATTGGAACAGTATTGGAACAGTATTGGAACAGTATTGGAACAGTATTGGAACCGTATTGGAACCGTATTGGAACAGTATTGGAACAGTATTGGAACCGTATTGGAACAGTATTGGAACCGTACTCTATCTCTATCTATCTGAAATCTGTTCACAAATCTTTTCTGATACACTGAAATCTTCATTTCTCTTGGTGACAAGAAAAAAATGAAGAATCCAGTGAACTAGAAAGGGTTTGTTTACAGATTTGAGCACAAAGAACACCAAGAAGAATAAGTTAATGATCTAAAAATGACATTTGTTAACCCAAGTTTTGCACCTCAAGCTTTCCTCGTGCTCTTCAAGCTTTCGTCGTGCTCTAGATGCTAAAACTTAAGTTAAGTTAACTCCCTAGAGGAGATTAGAGTAGACAGTAAAGGAGATTAAGTGAATTGTGGTGGAATGGTTAGCACAAATGGCCGGTAAGCGAAAGGTCACGGGTTCGAGTCCTGGTTGCGCGCAAGTTTTTGCTCTGCCTAGGTCGAACTCAGAATTATGCCATTATTAATAAGATGTTATCAATCAAGGCTTGCTTTTCTTGCTTTACTATTCTTAAAAACATTCCATTCTTGCTTTTGCAAGCGAATCATTTCTCTAAATGACATCGGAAATGATCAAAAACTATCTCATCAGTTTGTTTTTCTTTTTTTCTTGCTTCTCGTAAAGTTTTTGTACTTGAAACTTGAAATTTGGATGACATTTGTAAATAGAATGTTAAATGTTAAATAGAAAATGTTTGAATACGGTAGGATTAGACAAATGATCGTATTAAATAGAAAAAAAGGTTGTCAACATTTTTTCGTTGGATAGGCGAAAGGTAGGTAACGGTGCACTGTTATTTTACAGAAAAATAATTGGCCTTTCTAATGAAAGGCCATTTCCATTGCTCGGCAAGCAGAGATATTTGCAGCCACCGTTATTCGTCGCACATTGACTTGCACCTGAAAATTGTTGTTGAAAATTGTTGCTTCACTTTTTTAGATTGTACTGTATTTTGTAAAACTATTAGGCTATCCAGAAGTCTTTTCTTCTCTGAAAATTTGGCTATATACCTAACCTTTTATGCTCTATCTCTTATCTATAGGTTTCCTATAGATATATAGGATTATAGGAACCTATCGATAGGACACCAAAATAGGTTTACTTTAGCTAAAGTCGAGCCGCATCATTGAACCGCCTTTTTTTGACTACCCGACTTCACGACTTTAAGAACCTCTAGGAAGAAATTGGCTGAATCAATTTCTCTAAAAATTTGGCTATATACCTAACCTTTTATGCTCTATCTTTTATCCATTGACACCAAGATCGGTTTCCTTAGCTAAAGTGTCTAAATCACATCATTAAGCCGACTTTTTGACTACTCGACTTCATGTTCCCAAAAAAAAATCCAGAAATAAGACATTTGAAACTCGTTTTAATGTTATTTTACAGAAAAATAATTGGCCTTTCTAATGAAATAAACCGTAGTTTAATTGATGCATTTGTTGATTTTAAACGGAAGTACGAAAAGGAAAGAAAAGACTTTCTGGACAGCCTAATATGATTGTGTAATAGATAAACAACAAATAGATAGATAAACCTAATAGATAAACAACAAATGATTTGAGCACAAAGTACGACAAGAAGAATAAGTTAATAGTCTTTAAAGAAATGACAGTTTCAAATTAATTATGTATTAAGCGCTCAGTTCGAGAACAGTTCAAGCGAATCATTTCTCTAAATCAATCAAGGCTTGCTTTTCTTGCTTTACTATTCTTGAACACATTCCATTCTTGCTTTTGCAAGCAAATCATTTCTCTAAATGACGTCAGAAATCATCAAAATTATCTCATCAGTTTTTTTCTTTTTTTTCTTGCTTCTCGTAAAGTTTTTGTACTTGAAACTCGAAATTTGAATCTTATTTGTAAATAGAAAATGTTTGGATACGGTAGGATTAGACAAATGATAGATGACAAATGATTAAATAAAAAAAACGGTTGTCTAGATGGTGTTTTTAATCAGCTTTGACTATCAGAAAGATCTCAGAAAGGGTAGGTGTAAATTTAGGTCAAAAAGTACAATCAAAAAACGGTTGTTAATTCATTGTTTCATTTTGTGTTTGATCTTTTCCCAAAAATGTCTCGAAAAAGCCACTTTTCGAGCTATTAGAACAATGATTGCTATTAGAACAATGATGTGGATAAATCAATATTGGAGAAAGCTTCCTGTCCAGCGGGACTTCTTGAAAATCTCTCCTTGAAAATTTTCAAGTTTCAACTTTGGTAATGAAGAAATCCAATTTTTAACATTAATGCGCAGTAACTCGAATTGTTGAATTTGTAGGTTATGTGTTTGAGAAGGTTGTTGAAAAAAAACGGTTGTTAATTCATTGTTTCATTTTGTGTTTGATCTTTTCCCAAAAATGTCTCGAAAAAGCCACTTCTCTGACGAAAACGTCAAATCAAGCAAAGAGAAAGGAGAGATTTTTCTCTTTCCCGCTGGCCAGCAAGCTTTCTCCAATATTGATTTATCCACATCATTGTTCTAATAGCAATCAGCTTCAAATCAGCTTCAATCTATTGAAAATCTTCTTGATTAGCTTAGCTATTGATTCGCTGTTAAACTATTGTTGATCGAATCGATCGAATCAATGAATCACGAATTGATTCTTTGATTCATTGTTAAACTAAATCTTTTATTCATCTACAAATCTAACAATTCAATCTACAAATATAGCGACCAATCATTAACGTTAAGCATTGGATTTCTTCATTTCCAAAGTTGAAACTTCAAAATTTTCAAGGAGATCTCTCCTGGAAATCTCTCTTCTCTCCTATTCATTGCCTCAAAAGCTACTCAGCTAATTAAATAAAGACTTGATTTCATTACTCAAACACATAACTATTACTCACCTACAAATCCAACAACTACGCATTAATGTTAAAAATTGGATTTCTTCATTAAAAAAGTTGAAACTTGAAAATTTTCAAGGAGAGATTTTCAAGAAGTCCCGTTGGCCAGGAAGCTTTCTCCAATATTGATTTATCCACATCATTGTTCTAATAGCAATCAGCTTTAAATCAACTTCAAATCAGCTTCAAATCATCTTCAATCTATTGAAAATCTTCTTGATTAGCTTAGCGGTAGAATCACGAATTGATTCATTGATTCATTGTTAAACTAAATCTTTTATTCACCTACAAATCTAACAATTCAAAACACCGCTCATTAATGTTAAACATTGGATTTCTTCATTGCCAAAGTTGAAACTTCAAAATTTTCAGGAAGAGATTTTTAGATTTCTCATTGAAAATCTTATTCATTGCCTTATCTTATTCATTGCTTTATCTTATCTTATTCATTTCCTCAAAAACTACTCAGCTAATCAAATAAAGACTTGATTTTATTACTCAAACCCATAATTTATCTAAACTCTAAGATTTGTTCTTTGACATGTTCTTTCAAGACGTCGACTTGCCTAAATTCTATCGAAATTCGTCTGAGACTGAGACTGAGACTGGGCACTTTGAAAGGATTCGTTGCGGGAGATGGCGGATCAGAAAAGGATCCATTCTCTATTATTTATCAGCTATTTTCAGCCTCAAAAAGTAGTTGTTTCATTTTTTAGTATACAAAATAATTAGTTGCATAATTAATGATTTTGCCAAATTATTTTTGCCAATAGCCAATTATTTTTGAAACATTTAATTTATAAATAAGAAAAAAAAATTACAAAATTTGTATTTCTTTTGAAATTTTTACTCTTAGCCAATATCTTTTTTCTTTAAAATATCTTTAAAATTTGTCAGCGTTAATTTCCTGAAGAGCTTTCCTCAGGAAGCTTTCTAAAGCTTTCTAAAGCTTTCCTGAGGCTGAATCAAATGCAAATCAGTAATCAGTGGCTTAGAAAATAAGATATTCAGATAATATAAACTAGATTATGATAGCATTATGATAGCATTTGTATAAGATATTTAGGTGTACTCGAACGATGGCTGTGCTGTGCTCGGTGCTGGCCACAGTGTTCCTCTTCTCGACGATCGCTCTCGCCATTGTGATCGGAGTACAATCGACAAAGGGTGACAACAAAGAAGTGGGTGAAAATGAGAAATAGTTAATAAATTAAAAACATTTATTCACAAGAAATGAAAAGAAACAAATAGATTCGTATTAGTTTCATTAAAATCAAAAAACAAGAGAGCTCAAGGTGCGGCGAGGACTCGAACCCAGGTAACAAGGAAACAGACAGCTTTGTATCCAAGTAGCTTATCCACTAGGCCACCAATCCAGTTGGCCGGGGAGGCGAGAAAAGCTTTTTAGAAGGGCTGTGAAAGCCTTTTAAAGCCTTATAAAAAAGCCTTATAAACAAGCCTTTTAAAGTCTTATAAACAAGCCTTTTAAACAATAGAAAACTTCTATGCCAGATACCTTGTGTTTACGTGCATAGGGGCAGCTAATTTTTGCGAAATTTTGCTCATTAAAATCAAAAAAAGCAAGAAAGCCTAAGGTGCGGCGAGGACTCGAACCCAAGTAAGAAGCAAAGCGACTGCTTTGTATCCAAGTAGCTTATCCACTAGGCCACCAATCCAACTGGTGGTGGGGGCGAGAAAAGCCTTCTAGAAGGGATGTGAAAGCTTTTTGAAAGCCTTATAAACAAGCCTTTTAAAGCCTTATAAACAAGCCCTTTAAAGCCTTATAAACAAGCCTTTTAAACAATAGAAAACTTCTATGCCAGATATCTTGTGTTTACGTGCATAGGCAGCTGCATGGGCAGCTAATTTTTGCGAAATTTTGCTCAGCTTAGTCATTTCTATAACTTCTTGTGCGTGTGATGATCGACGGAGCTAGAGTATTTCCCTTGTAAGCCCTAAAACCTGGCCACGGATTCACTTCAACTCATTTACGTAGAAGTCACAAAAGTAATAAAAAAGTTTGTGTTTTTTGTAATCAAACTAGAATCTACTAACATTTAATAGCAAAATGGTTTAACTCAAAGCTATTCAAACTGTTCTTTGACATGCTCAAATACAGGGTGACCAGAAATCCCATGAGCCATTTTTGATGGTTCATAAAGAATTCTCTATTAATGCTATGATCATGAAAGCTTGAATATTTACAGAAAATGTTATGTTTTTTCATTTTTAAAAAGAAATTATCTTTTTGGTTTATAAAGAAAAGAAATACGGGCTTAGAACGGACTATTGGAAGGGATTATTTTGTGTCTGTCGTAGCCGATTATAAATGAGTGGGTCTAGGAGCGAATGAGTGGGTCTAGGAGCGAATGAGTGGGTCTAGGAGCGAATGAGTGGGTCTAGGAGCGTCCAACCATCAAGTATTTGGTATCATTCAACGCAGAATCATTAATAATTATGTTAAATTTTTTAAATTAGAAAGATTGGATAAAAAGAAAAAAATTATGGGGCCTCAAAGTTTTCTCTTGAACAAACAGTTTTTTTTCTTTTTATCAAATCTTTCTAATTTTAAAAATTTAACATAATTATCAATGATTCTGCGTTGAATGATACTAAATACTTGATGGTTGGACGCTCCTAGACCCACTCATTCATAATCGGCTACGGGGGTCTGAATGAAACGTTGTAGCGCCGGCAATTTTTAACCTAAACTCACAAATTTGGTACCAATCGACGCAGAATTTAATTCGCTACAAGATTATATAATACTGTCCTCATATATTATTGCTCTACTAGAAAGTTTTGCCAAAAAATTTCATTCATAATCGGCTACGACAAAAATATCGGCTCTGCAATGAAAGGCCCAAGGGATAATGGCCCACGGGCCCTATAACTTGTATGACAAAGTACAGTTGATTTTTTTTTGGCTCAATTCAATTCAAATGCCTTTTTTTAATGTTTAGAAAAATAATAATCAATAATCATTTTGAATTAGAAAAGAATAATCCTTTTGATTGTGATTTTGATTTAGCAAAAGGTAGTGATTCTTCGAGAAGATGAGGCCAAGAAATTCTTGGCCGAAAATGAGATTTCGGATAACTTCAATGTTACAATGACCATGAATGTGACAACAATAACAACAACAACAACAACAACAACAACAACAACAACAAAACAACAACAGCATCATCAGAACCCCTCCCAGCCACAATTGCTGAGGAAGAAGAGCTGATACCCGTGAGTCGAAAGAATCGCTGTACTTCTTGTGAATCCTTCTCGTGAATCCTTCTCGTCATCGTCTTGCAACTCCTCCAACTAATGTGGTTAACTTTGTGCTTAATAGTGTAAACACATTCCTTCTAGAGCTCTAAATTCTTCTTTTCTTCTTACCAAATCTACACCAGAAAGTGTGTGCTTACAAATTTGAGCACAAAGTACAAAGGAACTAACCCAAGTCGTTGTAAAAAGCTAACCTTAATCTAAAGATTGTTCCAGGCTTTTCAGGCCAAGCAAACCTGTTCCAGGTTTTCTAGAAGCAGCTCCTGGTCTGGGTAAAATCTAAAGCACAAAAAGAAACTAAAAACATAAAAGTTATTTAATTTGTTGCTAAAAAAGCTGATGTTAATTTGAAATTGACGTCAAATTAACGTTAATTTGATCGTGATAATCGTAAAAAGTGAGTCTCAAAGTTGGCGGGTATAGAAAACTTTGTTGATGACGAATAAATGCAAATTTAGGCTCCAAAGCAAATTTAGGCTTCAAAGCACAACTCAACTGCATAAATGTAACAAAGCTAACAAAGCTAACAAAGCTAACAAGCTAACAAAGCTAACAAGCTAACAAAGCTAACAAAGCTAACAAAGCCAACAAAGCTAACAAAGCTAACAAAGATAACAAAGTTAACAAGCTAACAAAGCTAACAAGCTAACAAAGTTAACAAAGCTAAGCTATCAAGGCAATGAGTTGAAGTAAGGATTGTCCCAGGCTTTTCAGGTCAAGCAAACCTGTTCCAGGTTTTCTAGAAGCAGCTCCTGGTCTGGGCCTGGCTCAGCTTGCTACCAGAAGTCTTGGACCTGATCAAGTCATACAAAACCAGGAAAAATCAGTAGTCAAGTAGTCTGGCTCAGCTTACTACCAGAAGTAGAAGCTTAGCTTACTACCAGAAGTAGAAGCTCAGCTTACCTGCCCTGATCTCATCTTGCTGTCAACTAGCTTATTGCTTTTATTAGGTTGTGTCTGGTTCGTAGAAGTTCGTAGATCTGGATCTGGCTTCTGACAAGGCTCTGGCCTGGTCTGGTCTGGCCTATAGGTTCTAACTATAGTCAGAGATGGCCTGGCATCAGAGATGTTGGATCTTCAGCTCTTCAGAGATCTCTGACTAAAGCTCCAGTTTTTTTATCTGCCTTAAACACTTACTAATCTTACTAATGAACGAATCCCCTTTCAGCAAGTGATGATCGGCGCGAGTCAGATCGCCTATGAGCCGGATGTCTCCGTGCCGGTAAACCCGAGTGACGCACCGGTGTTTTCAGTTAAAAACCACAGAAAAATGTCACTGAACACTGCAAATTGCACTGATTAAATGCTTTGTTAAGTTTCAATTTTAAGAAAAAGAAAAAGCTTTAGAGCTTTTTCAATTGTCGTAAAGCTTTAGAGCAATTTCGATTGTCGCTTTGTCGTGTTGTTTATTGTTTATTGTGTCTGTGAACTTTGAGTTTTCAATTCGAGTATTTAAATTTGCCTTTCACAACTCTACAAAGTTAAAGCAGTAGTTAAAAGTTAAGGCACAGTGAGTGTCTGTTGTTTCACATACAAACAACATGTGACTTGTTACAGTAATTTCTCTCATCACATAAAGTCATCTAAACAATCTTTATGAGTAAACCCTATGAGTAGATCATTATCAGTCTAAAAATCTTCTATAACATTATATCTAGATTGCCAGCGAGTACTCGGGTCGTCGTTCTCGTTTGGATTGGCCATTTCCATCAGGCTCTCTTCACGCGCATTATCGACGAGCCGCCGTCGCCGCCGATCATGGATTATGCTCAGAAGCTGGAAGGTCAAAAAATATTTATACGAATTATTTATTTACACAAATACGTACAAACAATACACAAAGACAATTCCTAAATGTAAGAAACAAAAAAATGGGAAAAAGGGGAGCAACAGAGGTAGCAACCGGGAGTGAACCCTCCACCCTCCGACTAAGATCCAAGGCTCTTATCCAGTCAACCATAGTGGTAACGAAAACCAAGCGATTTTTCAGATCTTTATCAACCTATTTCTCTTTAGAGACGTTTTAGAGAAAAAATGGGAAAAAGGGAACCAACAGAGGTAGCAAGCGGAATCGAACCCTTAATCTTCTGACCAAGATCCTAGGCTCTTTGCCAGTCAGCCATAAGTGTAACGAAAGCCAATGGATTTTTCAGGTCTTTATCAACCCATTTCTCTTTAGAGACGTTTTAATGGAAAGCGGAAATGCTGTCGATTCGATGATCGCCACTCTGTTGTGTGTTGGTGTGGTGAATCCACAATCATCGGGATTGGGTGGAGGATTTCTGATGACATTGTATAATAGGTGAGAAGAAATTTTTGACACTTTGGGTAGCTGATTGACGAGGAAATGACGAGGAAGTATCGTCCAGTCAATGACTGTTCTAGAAGACATACACTTACCACGACTTACCAATCAAACCGACAATTTTCAGCTCAACCGGTCGTTGCATTAGCATCAACGCTAGGGAAACTGCTCCAGCCGCAGCTCACAAGAACATGTTTGTCACCAATGCAAACGAATCATCCACTGGTGAGTGTCAGCTCTTTAAGAATTAATTTTTGTCATGCTATCACTCAAATCTAGAAATCTGTATACTTATTTTTTTTCTTTTAGTCCTTAGTCTAAAACTAAAACCAAAACAAAACCAAAACCCAAAAGTTTCTTCTTTTAATGAAATGTTTTTGATTTATCCTGCTATGGACATGATTTCGAAACGGATTGATTGAATACTTTTTGTTATATGCAAGTTACTAGAACTTACTATTGGATTGGTGAGTTGAAAACTGCGGGACTTTGAACTAAAATTTATTCAACATAAAACCATCAATTCGTTCCAAATAATTTCCATTATTATTTCCATTATTATTGACGACTTCTGCCCATTTTACAGGCAATTTGCGGATTTTCGTCTCCTCTTTCTTTGTAGGATTTTGGTTTGTGTGTGAGACAAGTGTGAGACTCAAAAATGGAGGACTGGAGATGTCCCAGTTTGAGCATTTGAGCACTTTCTTTAAAAGAAACCCATTTTGGTGTCAATAGAAAAGTTGTAGAGAATCAAAAATTAGGCTTATAGCCAAATTTCCAAAAAGATACACTTAGTAGTTTCGCTTAAAATGCAAGTTTTGTTGCAAATTTTGTGAAAATTCGTAAATTTGACATTTCTTGAAAACCAGTTTTTGAATCGTTCTGAAAATTCGGATATAAGCTTGATTTTTGATTCTCTACAACTTTTCCATTGACACCAAAATGGGTTTCCTTTTGAAGAAAGTGCCCAAACTGTCACATAGGACAATAGCCCGCAGTTTTCAATTCATCAACCAAATATTACAGTCATGGACAAAAGTCTTGGCGGCGCCTAGGTGGCAACTTTCAAACGCGAATTTATGAACCTTTCCGGGAGGCTATAAAAAAAATTGTCACGAGTATTTTTGAGCATTTTTACTCTACTTTTAGCTATGTCCAAGCATTGAACTCGAAAGTTTATTTTAAACAACAAAAATGAGCGTAAACGACAAAAAGGTCACAAAAGCAATGGACAAACGTCTTTTGTGTATCTTGCCTATATTTTTGTTATTTTCGGCTCTTCTCGATGATCCAAAAGGAGTTTACGATCCTCCCTTGGAGGTGTGACCGGTGGGCGGCCTTTTTTGAGCTTTCGATGAAGGTTTTCAGTTGCTATGCGTTGTGTGTGATTCGTTTAACTGTCCTCGTACCGCATCTGAATTTTTCCGCCATGTCCTTTACTTTCTCTCCTCGATTTCTTTCTTCTACAATTGCTTTTTTTTTGTCTAGCGTTGATAAATACACTCCAGGCATCTGAAAAAAAAAATTAAAAGATTACAAAAATATAGGCAAGATACACAAAAGACGTTTGTCCATTGCTTTTGTGACCTTTTTGTCGTTTACGCTCATTTTTGTTGTTTAAAATAAACTTTCGAGTTCAATGCTTGGACATAGCTAAAAGTAGAGTAAAAATGCTCAAAAATACTTGTGACAATTTTTTTATAGCCTCTCGGAAAGGTTCATAAATTCGCGTTTGAAAGTTGCCACCTAGGAACCGCCAAGACTTTTGTCCATGACTAGTTTTGTAAATTTATTGTCTTTTTTTAGAAGGAAACATTATACCATTTGATTGCAAAAAGCGAGAAAGTTGTGTTGGTGAGCGGCTTTAAACAAAAAAAAAAAGAATGGGAACTAAAAGGGATATGCATGTGAACATTTTCAGTTTCATCTTACATTTTATCTTACAGCCAACGTTTATTTGTTGGGTCAAAGACTTTCGGGTTCTGCTGATCCAAAATGAAAAGCTAAAGAAATCGATTTAATTTCAGGTTACCGATCAATTGCTGTGCCGTCAGAGTTGCACGGTTTTTGGACGACTTTCACGCGTTTCGGATCGGGAAAGGTTTGATGAGAGAAAAGATTTGAAAAGGACTGTAATCTTTGAACTGTACTGTACTGTACAGGACTGTACTGGACTGGACTGTACTGGACTGGGCTGGACTGTACTGTACTGGACTGTACTGTACTGGACTGTACTGTACTGTACTGTACTGTACTATCAACAATATTCAGGTAACTTGGCAACGCCTCTTCCAACCAGCCATCAAATTAGCGAGAAACGGATTTCCCGTGTCGGCGAATTTAGCCCTGATTCTCTCGGATAAAGAACAAGAAATACTCGATGAACCAACTATGAAGTGAAAAAGGAATAGAATCCATTTAGATATCCGATATCTTTAGATCAATTTTCGTCAACTCGGATACCGGTCGCGTTTATGAGGAAGGCGATATCATGAAGAGAGGACGGCTGGCTGACACGTTGAGGGTGGGTGGATTGACTTTTTAAAATTGAAAACAACTACTGCTCTACCATTAGGATTCAAGTTTTGCTGGGCTGAGCTAAAGCTGGGCTGAACAATAAGCTGAATGCTTGTTGAAGTAACTAAATATATTGGCTGACTAGTTGAAGCCCATGGTTGTTCTTAACATGACTGTTCTTAACATGGCTCTTCTTATTAAGGCCAATTTTCCAGGCCAAGCCAAAGCTAAACCAAAACCAAGTCAAGACTTTAGGCCAAAGCCGAAGTAAGTTTAAAACTCTAAACCAGCCTTTGCCTTCACTTGGATCTGTTTTTTTGGCTCCGGAACAACTCTGGTTGAAGATATTGACTAGTTGAAGCTTCTTTAAAGCTTTTTTTTTAGTATTCTAAACTATAGCAGCACACTTATTTAATCTAAAATTGGGATAACAAAAGATGACAAAATATATTGTCAAAATATGTATTGTCAATAATGTTTTATGTATGAATTAAATCTTTGTATGAATTAAATTTTTTGTTTACCTCGTTTATTTAAGGAACTCTCCGAGGCAGCCGATCCGATCGATCTCTTCTATCGAGGCGGTTTCGCGCAAACGATCGTCACCGAAATCAAGGACAAAGGTGAAGAATTGTTGGCATTTAGCAATTGCAAAATCTACTTTGCATGTACTTTCAATTTAAAACATAACTCTTTTTTTGAGGTGGAATCATCACTCTCCAAGATCTCGCGAACTACAAGACTGACGTCGACGAGACGCCAATCGAGAGCGAAGAGTTGCCCGGTTTGGGGAATTTACGAGTTTTAGATTTAAACTATCATAAAAAGAAGTAAAGAGAAAAGAAAACGAAGTTAAAAAAGAAAAGAAAGAAGAAAGAAAAGAACAGAAAAGAACAGAAAGGAACAGAAAGAAAATCACTCATATAACATAAAATCAAGTAAACAGAAAGGAAATTGAACGAAGAGTGACCCATTTCAAATCCTTATATTACTATTGATAAGTCGCTTAGCTTAAAGTAAAACTTCTCAACCTGTGCATGCATTTAATATTTATTTAAAATTGTTATTCAGGAGAGTTGGCAATGTGTGGACCGCCACCGCCGAGCTCGTTTGTCATCACACAGAGTATCATCGCCGTAATGGCCGGTGAGTGGAGAACTTGAGATACTTTATTTTATCATTTCTAATTGGAATTTGAAATTCGATTAGAAATTCAATTAGAAATTCAATTAGAAATCCAATCTAATGATCGGAAAAAGTTTCTGGATATAACGATAGCCTTGATTGATGGCCAGAAATCACTATCGCTATAGCACGGGTTGTTGTTGTTGTTGTTGTTGTTGTTGTTGTTGTTGTTGTTGTTGTTGCTGTTGCTGTTGTTGCTGTTGCTGTTGTTGTTGCTGTTGCTGTTGTTGTTGCTGTTGTTGCTGTTGTTGCTGTTCTTGTTCTTGTTCTTGCTCTTGTTCTTGTTCTTGTTGTTGAACCGGAATAAGACGAGTAAATAGGGTAAAAACTGGTTGCTAGTGTTAAATCAAAAGTCATTAGATCTAGTTTGGCTCAATTTTTTTAGCTAACAAAAGCACAATTTGCTAAAGCTTGAGCTTTGGGAGACAAAATCCCAAAGTTCATTACACAAAGCACACCCTAGGTTGTCATTACAAAGCAAAAGGTTATCATTATTTGAAAATTGCAGAATTCTACGCGCATCAGAACGTTGATTTGGACGATCCGTTGGTGTATCACCGGTTGATCGAGGCTGAGAAATTCGCTTATGCTCAGCGCACGAAACTCGGCGATATCGCTTTCGTGCAATCGGCCAACGAACTCGTTAGGAACATGACGCAAAAGTTAGTGAGAGTTTTTTTTGAAGAAATCCTCAACTTCGACTTTCGAATGATTGCTCAAGCTTTTGATTTGAAAAAGTTAAAGACTTTAGGAGAAGGCTAAAGACTTTAGGAGAAGGTTAAAGACTTTAGGAGGGTTAAAGACTTTAGGAGAAGGTTAAAGTCTTTAGGAGAAGGTTAAAGACTTCAAATTCTTCCGATTCTTCGAATTCGAATTTTCAATTTCAATTTCAATTTCAAATTGAAATGTTCAAGCTAAAATCCTTTTACGATCCTTATTTCAGGCATTACATCAAGAAGATTAAATCGATGATTACCGACGGATCACACGAAAGGAGTTATTATTTGGGTGACAACACAACACAGGTACATAAATGAGATAAGAAGTTACTGAAAAAAACGACCAATGAGCTCAAATCTCAAATAAAAGCTCAAATCTAAATAAGTAAAATTTGAAATCCGCTTTTTCAAAGACAAATGGAAGAAGTTTAAAATAAAGAACATTAGTAAAAGTTGAGAGTGAAATTTTGCCTTAATATTGTTAAAGTTGAAACTTGTTTTTGAGCTCTTGAGATTCACTATTTTTTGGAGCTATAGATTGTATCAATCTGGCAGCTTTGAAGCAAGTTAGAAGCGTTCATATTGTGACCGTTTGTCAATCTTGTAGTTTATAGTTTCTTGTAGTTTACTATGTCTACTGCATTTCCCAACTTTGCTTACCGCCAGTCTAACTTCATTTAACGGGTCGACAAGGCAGCAAGTTAACAAGTTTCAATAAGGCTAAGGGTTATACGGTAATCCCTAACAATTTGTTTCGCACTATTATTATTATATGATATATATAATATATATAATATACTACCGTATTTTCTCTAATAGTAGTGCACTCTGAGCGTCGCCTAAATCTCGAGAACCGCTTATCAGAACCTATTGATGTGGGGTCGGAAAATGTAGCTGACGATGAGATCTTGACGATGATTAGAGTGTTGAGCTTCTGCAAAAGCTTGGAAACCGTAAAATAGGCATTAACTCGGCTCGCCGGGGTGCACTACTATTAGAGAAAATACAGTAACATTTTTATCAACTAAACGAAAAATTTAAGCAAAAAACCAAACAAACAAACAAATAACTCTATTTTTGCTAGTTTATTTATTATTATTCTTTTTTAGCCACCAGATCACGGAACATCACATGTATCAATTGTGGATGCGTCTGGGAATGCCGTCTCCACCACTTCGACCATCAATCTTTAGTGAGTTGAAGAGAAGTAAGACATGAAGTAAAGTGAGGAAGCAAAAATTTGTAGTAACATTGGTAGTAAGCACTTAAGAAAGATAGAAGAGTTAAAAGAGTTGGATGTAGATAACTGAATCGAGATTCATCTGAGATTAAGCCTGGGTTATTTCAATCATTTTTCCATTTCAGCTTCGGCTCAATGCGCGCCTCGCCAACACTTGGAATTATTTGGAATGACGAGATGGACGATTTCTCCACTCCAGGACAATCGTAAGAGGCTTTGAACTATAAAAAATTGACTTATGTTGGCTTATGTTGGCTGATGTTGGCTTATTTTGGCTTACAATGTGCTACATTAGTAGTTTAACTACTGCTTTAACTTATTCCAGTAGTTAAACTATTGGTGTGATGGAGGAAAAGTTCAGGGTTCAATTCAGGAGCTTCAGGGCTTTAACCTTTATCCTCGGAAATGATTTGGTTTTAGAATATAGTAAAAAAGGTTAAACGAATTTCTCCAAAGCGCTCAGAAGATAAAAAGAACACGTCAAATCTAGCATAAGTTTAACGCTCGTGATACGAGTAAACAAAGAAGTTGACGCTTCATCGATGGCAACACAAATATTCAAGAGAAAACTTTGAAGCCCCATAATTTTTTTTCTATTTATCAAATCTTGCTAATTTTAAAAATTTAACATAATTATCAATGATTCTGCGTTGAATGATACTAAATACTTGATGGTTGGACGCTCCTAGACCCACTCATTTATAATCGGCTGAAATTCATAATCGGCTACGACATATATAATATACTACCGTATTTTCTCTAATAGTAGTGCACTCTGAGCGTCGCCTAAATCTCGAGAACCGCTTATCAGAACCTATTGATGTGGGTTCTGATAAGAGTAGTTTAAAGTAGTTAAGAGTAGTTTAAAGTAGTTTTATAATTTAACGATTTATTAGTACAGAAAGAAAAGGTAACAATACCAATTACAAAAAAAAGCATCCGAAAAAGCATCAAAAAAGCATCCGCAAAAAAGCATCCACAAAAAAGCGTCCGCAGAAAAAGCATCAAAAAAAGCATCCGCGTCAAGTTCTCTTCAAGCTTTTTTGTAGAAATATCAAATCCCAAAAGAACGATGGCAAAACCCTAAACTAAAAAGGGCCAGAAGCTGCATCAAAAAATTCTATTTCAAAAAACCAAAGAAACCAAAGAAACCAAAGAAACCAAAAGACCAAAAAAACCATTTCGGGAAGAGAATGAGACGAAAAAGCGACGTAAATTAAATGCAAATAGGAACGTAATTTTTGAAGGAAATGGACCGAAGTCCGAGTCCGAAGAGAGGACCGAAGTCCGAGTCCGAAGAGAGGACCGAAGTCCGAGTCCGAATAGAGGACCGAAGTCCGAGTCCGAAGAGAGGACCGAAGTCCGAGTCCGAATAGAGGACCGAAGTCCGAGTCCGAAGAGAGGACCGAAGGACCACTGACTAACTTGTCAGTGGATTTGTAGAAATCTCAAATCCCTGCATCAGAAAACCACTTGAATGCATTCACATAGCAAATATCATTTAGAAAATTTAGAAACGCTTTCGGTTTTGCCGCCTCTGAAACGAATTTCATCGAGCCAGGGAAACGGCCGATGTCCTCGATGAGCCCGGCTGTGATTTACAATAAAAATGATAATCAGGTAGAGATGATCAAAAAAATATGCTTTTAAAACGTTTATTAAATTCTTAAATATTACAAAAACTAAATCTGATTTAAAGTTTTTAAGAAAAATCGAATCAAAACTTGATTGCGTGCTTAAAAGCTGGCCGAATTGTATTAACTTTGAAACTTAAACTTTTCAAAATAAAATTTAACGTTTATGCAAGTTTTTGATTGATATCTAAGTGATAAACGATTAGATTTGAGCATTTTTTTTGAAATCTGAAATGAAATGAGAATTCTAACAGGTTCGAATGGTTGTCGGTGCCTCGGGCGGATCATTCATCATCTCAACCGTCGCTCAAACCGTCATCCGAACGCTGCTCTTCAATCAAACGATAAAGGTGAATAAAAGATTTGTTCTTTTACATAAAAAATCGATAGGATTGCTTTGTTTTAGTGAAATTACTTGAAACATTTCATTTTACCTAATTGTAATTGTACCTAATTTTTAACTAAACTTTCCAGGAAGCCGTCGACGCTCCCCGAATTCACAATCAGTATTTACCGCATCGCACTGATTTCGAGCATTCGTTTCCAAAGGTTTGTAAAAGTCTTGTCAAAGACTTGTCAAAGGTTTGCCAAGGGCTTCTCAAAGGTTTGTCAAAGTCTTGTAAAAGTCTTGTTAAGGGCTTGTCAAAGGCTTGTCAAAGGCTTGTCAAGGGCTTATCAAAAGGCTTGTCAAAGGCTTGTCAAAGGCTTGTCAAAGGCTTGTCAAGGGCTTGTCAAGGGCTTGTCAAAAGGCTTGTCAAAGGCTTGTCAAGGGCTTGTCAAGGGCTTGTCAAATGCTTATCATGTTTTAAAAATCTAAAATTCTATAGATTGTTTTGCTAGGCATCTTTTTAAATCGATATGGGCCGTGGGATTGATTTGTTTTCCAGAAAAAGTCCATATATATATATGTTGTGTCCGATTTAGATTGAACTTATCGCGGACGTCCGATTTAGATCACAGTCTATATCGAACGTCCGATTTAGATTCAATCTAAATCGGACGGAAATCTAAATCGGACACAACATATATATATTTCTTTATTTCTAATACCCGCTTTCTCTGCATTAAGTTTAAAACTTTCCATTGTTTCCCTATTTCATTGAAACTGAATTGCAAGATGCCAATTTTCAGGTGATCATCGACAAATTGAGATCTCAATACGGCCAAACGATGAACCCGGTGGTGAAACAGAAATCAGTGGCCCAGGCGCTGGAGGTGAGGCTATAAACTAAGCCATAACATGAACAATCACCAACTAACAAATTACCTTGTAGCAACAGTTAACTTATCGTAGTTCAAAACTAGAATCACGTTTTACATTCTCCAATAAGTGCTTCATCTGTTTTCTTTGTTCGCTCAGTTTTAAACGGAAAACATGAGAAAAATAATCAATAAGATCTATCAGTAAACCCTCTTATATAATAGTTATAATATAATAATATAATAATATAATAATAGTTATAATATTATAATATAATATATAATAATATAGTATATAATAATATAATATATAATAATATTATATATTATATATCAAATGTATACTTTTATCATATAAAAGTATACACTTATTCAAAATGAATAGTGCAACACAAACAAATACACAACTCAATACAAAACCCCCTAAAGATGTTGCAGAGAAAAAACCCATGTATATGGGAAAAAGAGCCAAATTCCCTAGCCGCTGGGATTAAACCCGTGACCTCCTGACTAGAATGCCAGACTCCTCACCACTCAGCCATGGCGGGATCAATATATAATATCTACCGTATTCTCTCTAATAGTAATGCACCCCGGCGAGCCGAGTTGGTGACTATTTTACGGTTTCCAAGTTCTTCACAGAAGCTCAAAACTCTAATCCCCCACTAGATCTCATCGTCAGCTACATATTCCAATCCCACATCGATAGGTTCTGATAAGCGGTTCTCGAGATTTCGAGCGATTTAGGCGGCGCTCAGGGTGCACAACTATTAGAGAGAATCCGGTAGTTATGTTCCAAGCAGGCAGAAAGACAGGCTACAGTCAGCTAGCCAGATCTAGAGTCAGCTCTGACTGATGGACACTCAGGGATTCCTATAGGCCAGGCTCAGCTTGAACCCATTGTGACCGGCTTCCTTATTTATACTGCTTGTACCTCTCACTAATCCCCCACTAGATCTCAACATCAGCTACATTTTCCGACCCCACATCAATAGGTTCTGATAAGCGGTTCTCGAGATTTAGGCGACGCTCAGAGTGCACTACTATTAGAGAAAATACGGTAGTATATTATATATATTATATATATCATATAATAATAATAGTGCGAAACAAATTGTTAGGGATTACCGTATAACCTTTAGTCTTATTGAAACTTGTTAACTTGCTGCCTTGCCGACCCGTTAAATGAAGTTAGACTAGCGGTAAGCAAAGTTGGGAAATGCAGTAGACATAGGCACTATAAACTGACAAACTGTCACAATATAAACGCTTCTAACTTGCTTCAAAGCTGCCAGATTGATACAATCTATAGCTCAAAAAATAGAGAAGCTCAAGAACTTTCGAATAAACTAAAGCTTTGATATTTTTGGATATGCATCCAAAAATATCAAGGTAAAGAGAGTTACAGTAGTTTGTAGCCGAAATGAATGGTAGCTCGCGCGTAGTCGACGGCTATAAACCACTGTCACTTTCTTTAGTTTTGATATTTTTGAGTATGCTTTAGTTCATTCGAAAGCTCTTGAAATTCTCTATTTTTTGAGCTAAAGATCATGTCAATCCAGGAGATTTAAAGCAATTTAGAAGCGCTTGTAGTTGAAGTTTGTATTTTGTAGTTTGTATTTTGTAAAATACACAAGTAATATGAATAAGCGATGCATTTCCTCATCGAGTTCTGCATTTCCAATTTTCAGGTCCTAGACGACGGCTTCGTGCACGGGAATAGCGATTTCCGTCGAGCCACCTCCACCTATCCAGCTGGATACTAAAGAAAAAGAGACAGAAAGTGTAAACGATGAGAAATTTCTAGCAAATGCTTTCAGATAACAAAAGCAAAAGCAAAAGCAATGCTATGCTTTGCTTTGCATATGCTTTGCTTTTCGTTAGCATATGATTGTCGAAACTTTTTCCACAACACAGCTATTTTTGAATCGAGTGCAAATTTTGTGTTTTCTTTAACGTCTTCCAGTTTTGTGAATTTCTTTTATTCTTGAAATTTCTTCAAAATTGCTGATTAGATTTGCAAATTAGTGATATTATAATGAATATTTGCAGTGCTTCTAACTGGAAAATTCCTCTAAATGGAATTCTGTTCTTCTAAATCTAAATTCCCGTTCTTCTAACTGGAATTCCCAGTTCTTCTAAATGGAATTCCCAGTTCTTCTAAATGGAATTCCAGTTCTTCTAAATCTAAATTCCCGTTCTTCTAACTGGAATTCCCAGTTCTTCTAAATGGAATTCCCGTTCTTCTAAACGGAATTCCCAGTTCTTCTAATTGGAATTCCAGTTCTTCTAAATGGAATTCCCAGTTCTTCTAACTGGAATTCCAGTTCTTCTAAATGGAATTCCCTGTTCTTCTAAATCTAAATTCCCGTTCTTCTAACTGGAATTCCCAGTTCTTCTAACTGGAATTCCCAGTTCTTCTAAATGGAATTCCAGTTCTTCTAAACGGAATTCCCGTTCTTCTAAATGGAATTCCCAGTTCTTCTAAATGGAATTCCCAGTTCTTCTAAATGGAATTCCAGTTCTTCTAAATGGAATTCCCAGTTCTTCTAACTGGAATTCCCAGTTCTTCTAAATGGAATTCCTGTTCTTCTAAATCTAAATTCCCGTTCTTCTAACTGGAATTCCCAGTTCTTCTAACTGGAATTCCCAGTTCTTCTAAATGGAATTCCAGTTCTTCTAAATGGAATTCCCAGTTCTTCTAACTGGAATTCCTGTTCATATATTTTAAATCTAATCGTAAACTTGTCCTTTTTGTTTGTTAGATAATCCACTTTTAAAGCTTTTTGGCTTAAGTCAGCAATTTTGATCAAAATCAAAAGCAAAATCAGCAATTTTGAATATTTTGAATACTTTTCTTTTGTTTCTTTTGTGTTTTTTTGTTTTCTTTTTCCTGAAATCACTCGGGTATCTGCTAAATGATAAATGCTTAATGTCTAGTCGGCCCTGTAGTCGACTCTGCTAGTCGAATGCTTCTTTCTAATGAAAATTTCAGATTTCAAAACATTTTTTGTCTTTTTTATCAATTAGATGATGCTAAGCCACCCATTGTCTATCAATTAAATGATGCTAAGCCACTCATTGTTTATCAATTGATAAACAATGGGTGGCTTAGTATCATCTAATGCTGTTTATCAATTAGATGATGTCAAGCCACCCATTGTTTATCAATTAAATGACGTTAAGCCACCCACATAAACTATAAACGCTTAATGTCTTGTCTCTGCTAGTCGAATGCTTCTTTCTAATGAAAATTTCAGATTTCAAAACATTTTTTGTCTTTTTTATCAATTAGATGATGTTAAGCCACCCATTTTAAAGCTTACAATCCGTTTTTTTCTCTCTAAATCTTTTTTTGGATTTTTTTTGCTTCCGAAAACTTTTACGCCCCAAAATCCTTGAATAGCTTTAATTGATTTCGAATTTTTTTTTTCTTATGGATTTCTCGATTCTTTTACAAATATTATACAATAGAATTACTGTAATAATACCCCACCCGTAAATACTGTAATAGTACCCCACCCCCATAATGACGGTGCGGAGTGTTGTGAAGTCTAGCTTTGAACGAGTTTTTCTCGACACTGGTTTATGCTACAATGCGCGCTTAGGTATCAAAAAATAGCCCTGATTTAGAGCTATTTTTTGATACTAAAGACGCATTTTTTGGAAGTACGGGCGCTTTGAAAAAATGAAATACTAAAAAACTTTTGCGACTACGCGACTGTACGAGGGGGGGGGCGTACTGTTACAGTATTTACGGTAATAGAAATTAGAGCCACTCTTCTCTCATTTTTTCCATTTTCTTCGTCCGGATCCGCTTAGATCCGCGAAAAATTTCGATGTATTTGTAAATGCAGCGATTTTTTTTGTGTAAAATAAATTTATTTGAAAAATGTGTTAAAAAAAAGAAGAGATTTTGAAAGCACATCTCAAGAATGGAGCCAAGAATGGCGCCAAGAATGGAGCCAAGAATGGAGCCAAGAATGGAGCAGATTTAGGCTGAATAAAGTCAAGAAAACTCAAGAAAACTCAAGAAAACAAGAAAAAAAGAAAAAGAAAACTATGCTAGACTAAACTAGGCTTTGGAGTCAACTTTCATCGATATATCCTTTGGAGATAGGCTACTTAATATCTTTAAAATGTTTTAGCAAAACAAAGATCTCGATATAACGATTTGCTCGATATAACGATTTTCGATTAAACACTTTCTCGAGATAACGATCTTTCTTTTAATTTTGTAGAGAAAGGGAACCAATTTGTAGAGAAAAGATACCGAACTTGTAAAGAAAAGGGACCAAACAACGATTGTTTAACGGTTGTGACTAAAGCGTGGATAATTCTCTAAAACGAAATGCTGTTTATAGCGCAATTCAATTGATTGTATCCTTGCTCGACGATCCTACTGAAAGGCACCAAATCAAGGTGAGCTTTTAATACGAGAGCCATGGGCTTTATAGAATCGGCTATGCTGATTCGGAATCGCGAACCGTATCCCGTTTAAAATGAGTGAAATAATAAAGTCGAAGCTTTTAAAAGTAAAACCTTTAAACAAAGAATTTTTGGTAGTGTTTTGATGTCATTGACTAGAAATCTCGTAGAACTGACGATTTGATGAGCGATCTCTAGTTACTTGTTCGCGTTGATTCCTTAAACCTAGTGCATCGCGGTCTTCCTTAAGCATAGTGCATCGCGGTCTTCCTTAAACACATCCAGAGCTACTAACCATCTCACCATCCAGAGCTAACCATCAATTGAATCCATCTGATCTCCGAAATCGTTTAGCATTCTGCATTCATTACGAATAGCAAATTTCTGCAAAATTTCTTGCAATCTAATTTTATTTAAATAAATATTGAAGAGTAAAATGAATACACGTGACAGGGGAAATGGCAACAAAACAAAAAAAAGGTTTGAATATTGGAAAGTTTCAAAAAGATGGAGAATTTTGAAACATAAAATGAGACCAAGTAATGGAAATAAACAAGAAATAAACAAAAAATAAACAAAAAAATGAAAATGGACAATAATCGATAAATGAAATATCAGATTCTTAAAGTCAAAAAATAGTTTGTAGATTTTAGTTTAATAGGTTTTAGTCCAAAATTTTAAACTTCCAATTTCAGAAGTGAAGTAAAAAGTGGTGATTGAAGAAAAGATTGAAGATAAATATGTATTTATCATAAAAATTTTTGAAATAAATTTGTTTTTTAAGTTAAAAAGTAAAGATTCTCGCTTTTTAACATCCTTCCACATCGTCATTGTCGGGACAAACACACGTTCTCCCATCATTTCCATTGCTCGGCAAGCAGAGATATTTGCAGCCACCGTTATTCGTCGCACATTGACTTGCACCTGAAAATTGTTGTTGAAAATTGTTGCTTCACTTTTTTAGATTGTACTGTATTTTGTAAAACTATTAGGCTATCCAGAAGTCTTTTCTTCTCTGAAAATTTGGCTATATACCTAACCTTTTATGCTCTATCTCTTATCTATAGGTTTCCTATAGATATATAGGATTATAGGAACCTATCGATAGGGCACCAAAATAGGTTTACTTTAGCTAAAGTCGAGCCGCATCATTGAACCGCCTTTTTTTGACTACCCGACTTCACGACTTTAAGAACCTCTAGGAAGAAATTGGCTGAATCAATTTCTCTAAAAATTTGGCTATATACCTAACCTTTTATGCTCTATCTTTTATCCATTGACACCAAGATCGGTTTCCTTAGCTAAAGTGTCTAAATCACATCATTAAGCCGACTTTTTGACTACTCGACTTCATGTTTCCAAAAAAATCCAGAAATAAAACATTTGAAACCCGTTTTAATGTTATTTTACAGAAAAATAATTGGCCTTTTTAATGAAATAAACCGTAGTTTAATTGATGCATTTGTTGATTTTAAACGGAAGTACGAAAAGGAAAGAAAAGACTTTCTGGACAGCCTAATAGATTGTGTAAGACTCGACTCGAGTGCACCTAAACAAGAAATGATTTGAGCACAAAATACGACAAGAAGAATGAGTTAAATGAAGGAACTAAATAGGAACTATAGAGGAATTAACCTTAGGAAAAGTCTTAAAAAATCACAGTTTCAACTTAAATATGTACTAAGCGCTAAGTTCGAGAACAGTTCAAGCAAATCTTTCTCTAAATGACGTCAAAAATGATCAAAAATTGTCTCATCATCAGTTTGTTTCTCTTTTTTTGCTTCTCGCAAAGTTTTTGTATTTGAAACTTTTCGGAAATTTGGATCCCATTTGTAAATAGAAAATGTTCGGATACGGTAGGATTAGACAAATGATCGTATTAAATGGAAAAAAAGTTGTCAACATTTTTTGTTGGGTAAAATCTTAGGCGAAAGGTAGGTAACGGTGCACTTTATCCCCACACTTTTTTTTGAAAAAGTGGTTTTAGAAAAATGTATGCCAATTGATTGAGGCATGTAAATGTGATACACAAAAGGCCTGCAGTACAGTTTTAATATAAAATTTCTTGCAAAAAAAGTACATTTCCGGCAATTGTGATGTTGTTTTTTGTAATGAGCGCACTGAATTACCCCAGAAAAAGTGGTTTTGGAACAAAAATAATGGGGGGGGGGATAAAGTGCACTCAAGTCGAAAGGTAATTTTTTGATGAGTAATTTTTCAACTTAAATGCGAGAATATTAGGCTGTACTAACAAAAAGACTTATTCACCAACCTAATAACTATCGGAATCGTGAACTCAACGTTGAGAACAGGTTCACGATTGAAAGGAAAAAGGAACAGGTTCCGGTTGAAACCAATCTTTCACACTCACCTCCTACGCATTTATCGGGCACGCCGATGATTCCATACGATTTCCCAGATCCACCCAACGAGATCGTCATTGACGAATAGCCATCTCCATAAACGCCGACTGAGTGGACTCGATTGCTGAAATCGATTTCTCGATTTCCTTGCTATTTCCAAATGTTGCAAATTGCAGTAGCAGAAATTATTCAAAAACTAACTCTTTCCAATCGGTCCAATAGAAGCGCTCCTCTTTGACATGCGTGACGCCGAATGGATAGTTGAGATTCGAGAAAACGCTGCGACGATTTCGTCCATCCAAACCGATACACGATAGTCTAAAAAGGATCGGATGATAAGTGTGCCAGATAATAAGCGTTTCAAATTACAATACGTACAGCAAATGAATCATTGATTTTTCAAAACAAACCTTTTCACACCAGCATCCACCCAGCAAAGCTCGCGACGTCCGGGCAGAATCGTGAGCCCATTCGGTAGATGAATGTCATCCTAAAATTTTCAATTTTAGACTTGACAAGTTAATTTTATTTTTTCTATTCATCAAATTCAAATTACCTGCACAAATTTCATGTTATTTTTCCCGTCCAAATCGACTCGGCCAATGATCGGATGCTCGCGATGCCAATCCGTGTAGTAAAGGTGTCTAAAATGTTTTATTTTTCGTTTAAATATAACTTTTTGAAGAATCAGATGCGCTTATAAGCTTTACAAAAACTTTTCCAAAATCAAATCAAATCAAAACCTATTTTGTAGATCAATCGCCAAAGCTCTAGGGTTGACCAAACCCTCGGAAACGATCGCTTTCTGATAACGACCATCCATCGAAACCACGCCAATCTCATCTAAAAACAAAAAAAGCTTTAATTATTTGTTAGTATAAATATTAATGTTATTAAATTATTATTATTAAACCTTTGGTTATAACAAAAAAAGTGATGACTTGAAAAAGGCATAGCTTGACTTTTGGCCAATTTTAAGGAATTCAATCTACTAAAATCTACTACTAAGTAGAGTGTGTTCCCCAATCAATCATCATCAATTAATTAATTTACGATTAAAGTTTATTCGGATTATAATTTTAATCTAATCAATCTTTTAATCGAATTTTAATCGTCGATTAATGCGCGATTAAAACGTTTTTTAAAACAAAACATGAGTTTTCAACTGGCTTAAATTCTCAAATGCTATTGAAAACCTCTTCGGGAACTTTTTTTTGACTTACAACCTTTAACCTGGTCGCTCACTAGCTTATAAAGTAGCCTTAAACAAATTGCAAAGCTTAATGCCTTCCAGCACATATTGAGTTTTGCATTTTTTCTCGACGTACCTTTTACGGTACGACGGGACGGTATGTGCGCGTTTTAGAAAAAGGAATTAATCATGAGGAACGCACTCTACTGAATACTGATATACCATAGTGAAATTGAAAACCTTTCAACGAGTCCGCATAATAAACATTTCTGCTGCTCCAATCGATAGCGATTCCTTCGGGACTTTGGAGATCGTCGGTGAAATACGAGGTCATATTTGTGCCCTGTAGTGAAGCCGATCGAATCGAGTGACCTGGAAAAAAAATATCAGTGAAATTCTTTCAAATTTTAACGTTTCAATCGTGCCTAGTTCTTAAAATTCCTTGGCTTTCTTTGCTTACCCGAAATATCACTCCAAACGATTCGCTCATCTTGACAATCGAAATCGACGCCGACGGCGATATGGTGTGGAATGACGATGAGCTGGAAAGGGAGAAAAATGAGTTTCAAAAACATTAACTTGTTTAAAACTTGTTAGACCTTGATTCCTTTCTTGGATCTGGAGTTTTCCAATTCTAAGCCAGGTCAAGCAGGCTTGAAGCCAGGTTCTAGGGACTTTTTGTGACCCATGCCTACAGTAAAACCAAGCCAGGTAAGGTGCGTTAGTCCAGATTAGCCACCACGCCTAGTGAGAAAAAAGGTTCCACGTTTCAAAGTGAACCGGCGGCTGACATTGTGTCAAGTAATGATCCAATGTCTTCTCCTTCAATTTTTACCCACTTGTTTCCCGGGAATATCTTTGTGAGTGCCACGATGGAAAATTGCCATCCCTCTTGCGACAAAAAGGGTGTCCGAGCGGAATTCGGAGTCAGCTGAAGATTAGATTTAAAATTTTAAAATTTAGATTTGAAATTGAAACCAAAAAAAGACGGTGGGATCTGTCTAGAAATCAGATTTCAATAAAACTTGCAAAAACTATAGCTGTTTTCTTCAGACAACAGAACGATCGTCGTCTTCTTTTAGCGTAGCTGATTTAGCGTCACTTACGAGTACACGAGCGTCCATTTCCGTGGAATCCATATCGACAATTGCACACGTAATGCCCACCCTCGCCGGGCACACATTCCGCGTTCTCCGAGCACATCGACCGATCATCCAGACAAGTTGCTGAAATGGGTTTCATTGGGGAACATAGACAGTTTGAAATTTAGCACAATTTAATCCAGATCTAGTTTTTAGTGGCCACTTTATATTAAGTTGGTGAATAAGTCTTTTCGTTCCTTTTCGTACTTCCGTTTAAAAATAACAAATTCACAATTAACGTACCGTTTGTTTCATTAGAAAGGCCAATTATTTTTTGTAAGTTAACATGAAAACGGGTTTCAAATGTCTTATGTCTGGATTTTTTTTTGGGAACATGAAGTCGAGTAGTCAAAAAGTCGGCTTAATGGTGTGATTTAGACACTTTAATCTAAGGAAACCTATCTTGGTGTCAATAGATAAAAGATAGAGCATAAAAAGTTAGATATATAGCCAAATTTTCAGAGAAATTGAATCAACCAATTTTTTCGTAGAGGTCTTTATAGATTTTTCAGAATAACACGTATTCACTCTCGAATTTGGACTTGAAAGTGAACCAAAATTGACTTAAAAAGATGGAAATTGAACAATAAACACTTTTTATTTAGAGCAAACCATAGGTTAATTGGTGAATCTGTTATTTTTCATCGGAAGTACGAAAAGGAACAAAAAAACTTATTCACCAACATGACAGAATATCATGGATTTGAGATCTTCAGCTTTTACTACCGGTTAGAGATTTGGAGTATCAATCTGCGTAACCTGTCAATAAACCAAAGCTCGTTAGTTCATACGGAAGTCTTTTTTTTCATCTCAAACCACAAAAGGAGTAGAGCTAGCTTGAGTTGTATTGTTTCAAATCCAGAGTTTTCAATTTACGCAACTCATGCGTAAGCTGCAGCTCATTCTTTTTCTGGGGATGAGAATTTCATTCAATTATAAAAACTCACTCATCGGTGCGCAAACGACTCCATTTCCCACGTATCCATTCGAGCATTGGCACCGTGAGCCGCCGGACGGCGAGAAAACGCATTGCGCGTGCACCGAACAGCCGCTGCATTGAGGAGTTTCTGAAAATATACAATTTTTCAAATCTGCAATCGCAAGGAATTTCCTGACACTGAGAGCTTTAGATAAAAAAGTATTTCAGATTTTCGAAATGGAACCAAAACTTGTACAGCTCGATCTTTTTTCAAACAAAAGCCTTGCAAAAGCGATGAGGACAAAGTTGCTTAAAACTTAAAGGATTTGAATAATGTTTTGGATTGTTTTTCACTAATTTGGGGAGTGGGGCAAATGTTACCTTTTTTTTCCGCACCTTGCCAATTAGCGCACCTTTTTTCGCGTTTTAAAAAAGCTCTAAAAAGCTAATATTAACCAATTTCTATTCCAAATGTTGTTTTTCGAGGTAATTTGAGGGTGTCGAATTCAAATTTTGACATAACAGAGCGTGTGGAACCAATTTGAAAGACAAAACGGCTAGATCAAATTACAGAAAATTGCCGATTTTTCTCTTTGTAGAACTCCGTCCGTTTGTTTCCACAAGCTCTGATATGTCAAAATTTCGATTCTATGCCCTCAAATTACCTAGAAAACAACTTTTGGAATAGAAATTGGTTAATATTAGCTTTTTAGAGCTTTTTTTAAAACGCGAAAAAGGTGCGCTAATGGGCAAGGTGCGGAAAAAAAGGTCGCATTTGTCCCACTCCCCTAATTTGGTAAAAACTAACAAGCAGTATTTCCTAGACCTTAAAAAGGTTGAAACGTTAAATTTAAAAAACACCACAATAATAAAATAAGCGTTTACGTGGCTGAATTTGGGGTTTTTGCTGTTTAGTCAAGCATTTTCCTCCTAAAGTTTTTTCCGATTTTTAGTGCTTGAAGGCAAATCTCATTAAATATCCCCTGCTAAGCTGGGAGTTGTCAATTTTAGAACATAATTTTCAAATCACTCACCGACGGGATCACAACGTGAATGTCCATCGCCTTGGCTGCCCGGTTTGCACAAACAGCCGTACTCTTGACGTTGATGATTGTAGACACACTAAATATTGAAATAGTTCAAGGCTTTGAAAATATATTAAACTGACAAAGCATTAGTTAGTATTGACACGAAAAATTACACACAATTAAACGAAACCCAAGACGAAGTAACAAGAAAATCGCACCGTGGTAGATTATTTAGATTTGCGATTTAGTTAAAAAGGATTGGTTAAGTTTAGTTTATACGGCAAGTGTGAACGGATTCAAAACGATGACGTGGAAAGAGGCGAAAAGAAAACGAAATAAAGTCATCTTAGACTTTTAAACAACAAACTATGGGTAAATAATATAAAACTACGAGGAAACGAACGAGGGGAGGGAAAGTGCTTTAAAAACGCGCTACGAAAACATAATAGATTTAATAGGGAGAAGGAAACTTAGCGAGATTCGGCATAAAAGCCCGACAAAGTTTCCGATTCATGGAATAAAGGAAAATGAAAAGAATGGCAAAAGGGGGAATGAGACATTTGCGCACTTTTTCTTCGCTGGAAAAGACCTTAGGAAAGGCTGTAGAGCTTCAAAAATGTTTTCACGTAAGGGAATCGTATGCGTAGGTTCCGAATTTCGACAAATTAAACCTCGCTGACACGTCAAATTTGGGTTAAAAGGCAAAAACTGCGGAAAAGCGTTAAGTTGCGTAGTTTTTGCCTTTTAGCCCAAATTTGACGTGTCAGCGAGGTCTGATTTGTCGAAATTCGGAATCAGAAATTCGGAATGACTAGGTGCGCAAATGACTAGGTGCGCAAATGACTAGGTGCGCAAATGACTAGGTGCGCAAATGACTAGGTGCGCAAATGACTAGGTGCGCAAAAAAGGTCGCATTTGTCCCACCCAGGGCAAAAGGGAATTTTTGTACAGTGCGCATCCACGCTTTAGAAAGCACACGCGTCCAGAGGTTTGCGAGAAAAACAACGACTACGCAACGCTTCTCTGGACATGTTACTATTAGGAAAAATACGATATTTAATCAAAGATCCAACTATTCCGAACAAATCAAAGACCTGAGCATTATGATGGCACATTCTCGGATTTTGATCACAGGTTGTTGGTGGGGCATGCGGCACGCATTGTTGGCCATCTCCCGAGAAACCTAGAAACTTTAACGATACTTGAATTCAAATCAAAATCTAATTGAAGACATTTAAAAGATTTCGTTTAGACCAAGTCTTTCATTATTGAAATAGACTTCATTTTGAATCATGTTTCAAAACAATTGAGGAAAGCAACGATTTGCAATAAAATTGCATCGGATTTTTAGCTAGAGAGCTAAAAAGCCAAAAAGCTAGAGCTTTTTCGAAAAAAGCACTGATTTTAGACAAACTATCGTAATTCCAGCGCCAGTTTTCGTTCGATTAACTCCATTTTGGTATGATTTCAATGAGGATTTTAGGAAATGGGTTAACCAAGAGGAACTACCGTAAATATTGCAATAGTACCCCACCCCGCTCGTACAGTCGCGTAGTCGCAAAAGTTTTAGTCGTTTTTTAGTATTTCATTTTTTTCAAAGCGCCCGCGTACTTTCAAAAAATGCGTCTTTGGTATCAAAAAATAGCCCTGAAATTCAGGGCTATTTTTTGATACCTAAGCGCGCATTGTAGCATAAACCAGTGTCGAGAAAAACTCGTTCAAAGCTAGACTACGCAACACTCTGCACCGTCATTATGGGCGGTGGAGTACTATTACAGTATTTACGGTATGTCTTTTCGTCAATGAAGGCTATTATAATGATCTTTTCAATCTTTTAAAACAAGAACAGCTCATAATGATCTTTTAAATAATTTTAAAGTATCGTTTTCTCAAGCTTATGGCATAACTTACACTAATTAGTCGAAAAATCTGTCTAGATACTGTCTAGAAACTAAAGTCGAGTTTAATTTGTTTTCAAATTCACGGTTATGCTAATAACTACCGTAAATACTGTAATAGTACCCCACCGCGCTCGTACAGTCGCGTAGTCGCAAAAGTTTTAGTCGTTTTTTAGTATTTCATTTCTTTCAAAGCGCCCGTACTTTCAAAAAATGGGTCTTTGCTATCAAAAAATAGCTGAAATTTAGGGCTATTTTTTGATACCTAAACGCGAATTGTAGCATAAACCAGTGTCGAGAAACACTCGTTCAAAGCTAGACTACGCAACACTCCGCACCGTCATTATGGGGGTGGGGTACTATTACAGTATTTCTAACTACAAACCTACTAAAACAGCCTTACTTTGTAAAGATTTCTTGGTTTTGTCACTTAAACACTTTACACTTTGCTCGATTAGCTAGTTTCCCTTTTTTCTCTCACCTTGAACACATTTGCATACATACGCTCCTTCAGCCTCTCCATAAACACATTCAGCATTTTGGTGGCAACTTCGCGGATCAGCTGGGGTGCATTTGTCTGAAATTTTATGGAAAATGAATAAAGCCAAATGCCAAATGCCAAATGCTATTCAATTCAAGCTTTTAAAATTTCTCCGAAACCTGCAATCCTACACGTGGTCACTCCATCACCACGGAAACCCGGCAAGCACTGGCAGAAATATTGGCTTCGATCATTTTGCACACAATGTCCATTTTGGTGGCAATCCGTTTGCTCACGGCAGATTTTTGGTGAAACTAGAAAAAAGTGCTTTTTGAAAATGGCCAGCTATTCTAGATTAGCAAGAAAATTCGTAGAAAAAGTTTGCACAGTGATTTCTTTCTGGACAGCTTAGGAAAGGCTGTAGAGCTTCAAAAACATTTCCATATAAGGGAATCGTATGCGTAGATTCCGAATTTCGACAAATTAAACCTCGCTGACACGTCAAATTTGGGCTAAAATGTAAAAAAACTGCGGAAAAGCGTTAAGTTGCGTAGGTTTTGCCTTTTAGCCCAAATTTGACGTGTCAGCTAGGTTTAATTTGTCGAAATTCGGAATCTACGCATACGATTCCCTTACGCGAAAACATTTTTGAAGCCCAAGCTATTCTAGATTAGCAAGAAAGTTCGTAGAAAAAGTTTGCACAGTGATTTCTTTCTGGACAGCCTAGTAATTCAGCAAAAATTCAGCATTTTCGTTTAACCAGTCAATTCTGACTTGAACAATGCTTTAGTTAAAACAGAAACTACAAACTACAATTGCATAAAAAACTTTGTGATTACTGGATTAGCTGGTTTGAAACGGTTAAAGTTGAAACTCGAGCTCATAAAAATTTTCGATTAATGAATACCGTGATCCAGACAGTCTAGACTGAATACCGTAATCCAGACAGTCTAGCCTGAATAGCCTATTCGAAGCTGAATACCCTAATCTAGACAAAGACCGTAATCCAGCCAATTTAAGCTGAAGACCCTAAGAATAGGGTATTCAGTCTGGGCTGCCTGGATTACGGTAGTCAGTTTAGATTAGGGTATTCAGTTTAGATTGGCTGGATTACGGTCTTTGTCTAGACACGCTGTCTACGGCTGGATCTAGACAAACACCATAATCCAGCCAATCTAAGCTGAATACCTTAATCTAAACTGACTACCGTAATCCAGACACTCTAGCCTGAATAGCCTATTCGAAGCTGAAAACCCTAATCCAGACAAACACCGTAATCCAGCCAATCTAAGCTGAATACCCTAATCTAAACTGACTACCGTAATCCAGGCAGCCCAGACTGAATACCCTATTCTAAGCTGAATACTCTAATGGAGACAATTACTGTAATCCAACCAATTCTGACTTGAACAATGTCATCTTTGGTCATTGGATTGATTAGCTTTGAAACAGTGTTTAACTTGAAACTCAACCCTCACCCTGTCTTCCTTCCCAATTTCCACCGCCTCCCACTTTCACGCAGCTCGTCCCATCGCCCATGTAACCACTCAAACACTCGCAAACGTAGCGTCTAAAATGAATTGACGGCCTTTTGCTGCTCTTCACTGTTTCAAGTCGGCAAATTTTAGATTTAAAGCTTTTGAATGACTTTTAGCACTTTAAGGCCTTCTATTAATTGAATGGCTTCTATTAATCTATCAAATGTTTTCTAAAATTTTGTTTTCTAATCTTTCCCTCACCTGTTGTGCGAATCAAAGACACATTGAGCATTTGAATCACATCGCTCACATCCCGGATGTTTTCCGCTTGTTTGCACTGGAGGTTCCACTAAAAAGTTTCAAAAATAGAGCGGTTTTTTGGATTCAAAGCTAAGACCAGGTTCAAGTTTGGCTGCTAGCAAAAATATTGGACGTCGGGGATTGAACCCGAGAGGAAACAGGATCTAGACAGGATCTAGACAACGTCAGGCTCTAGACGACGCACTAACCACTAGGCCATTGAGGCAAAGAGGCCATTGAGGCCATTGAGGCCATTGAGGCCATTGAGGCACTGAGGCCATTGAGGCCATTGAGGCACAGAGGCCCTTGAGGCCATTGAGGCCATTGAGGCCAGTTTCCAGAGCGTGATAAAGGCCTGTTAACCTCCAGGAGCCATCCAGATCTCAACTTTCGTTTGGATGATTCCCTTGTAAGAGTACTTGGGTACAACTAGCCAGTACCTGGGTCTGGCCTTTGGTTTGGCTTTGCTTTGTTTTTGCATGCCAAGTCTGGACCTGACTTCTGGGTTGGCCTGTGTCTTTTGTCTGAATTTCTAGCCTAACACAGTTGACTTGAATCCACTTAATCTCATCACTCACATGGTGGCAACAATTCGGGTAATCCTTGACTGATGGCCACACATTGAAATCCATCGCCCACATATCCACTTTGACAAGCGCATTTCCAGTTCGGCTTTGAGAAGATGCAGTCCGCATTTTGGCCGCAATTCCTCAACACATCGCAGCCTTGTTGTTGCGAGGCTCAAATTGTTAACATTGGAAACAATTGCTTATACATTGGAAACAATTGCTTATTATTGAACCAGAGATCATTTTGCTTGTTTCAACTATGCACCAGGGTTGAATCTGAATCCGGATCTCTACGCAAGAATACAAAGAACATTACGGCGGCTAAGCGACATTACTAAACGTCTACACAACGGCACTGTGAGCTGGCGATTGGAGGATCGTAGCTGTAACGTTCTTTATATTCTTGCGTAGTTCTTTGTATCCTTCTTTATAAATCCAGATTCGCCCAGTAAATCAACGACTTTTTATTCGACATTTCATTTATCATTTCTAATATAAATCACTGGATTTTTCGTAATTTTATGCTCTATTTAAGTGCTCAGATTACCTCGATTATACGGCACAAGCTCTTCTTCATCGTCCAAAGCACATCTCACACCGTCTCCCTAGAATTGCTTGCTAAACCAGGCTTGCTAAGTAAGAAAGCCTTTGCCTACTGCATTACTATTGATCTAGAGTTTCAAATTTCAATTCTAGCGTCCCCATTTCACTAATATTGTCAATTACGTGATGTTGTTGACAATTCTGATATTCAGAATTGTCAACAATGTTATTCAGAATTGTCCTCATTGTTCTCACCTTGTATGGCGGAGTACATGTGCATTGATAGTAGCCAACCAATTGATTGTAAGCACAAGAGCCATGCTCTGCGCATTCATCATGTGATCGACAAATTGTTCCTGCAAAGGAATTCTCTAGACTCTCTAGACTCTCTAAATTCTCTAGATTCTCTAGATTCAAACGAGAATGTCGGATCAAGAATTTGGCCGTCATATTGGCTAATTGACAAAGTTTTCTACGAGTCATTGCTCTATTCTCAACTTGATTACAGAGTGAAGCTCACCAGTGGCTCCAACTTGCACCGGTTGATCAGGACTCTCATCTAGCAGCGACTCGCATTGAATGCCATTCCCGTGGAAACCCGCTCGACATACGCACTCAGACTGAAATTGAACTTGAAATTGAATTTACTTTAAAACATTCTAAGAAACGCTAGTATCTCTAGAAGCTCTAGTATCTCTAGAAACCCTAGTCAAGATTTGAACTCAATTGTAACTCTAAAAAACTAATCATTCAAATTTCCTACAGGGGGATCGGCCTTGGGAACCAGTTCACCATATGGATGCGGTTACCTATAGCACTCAGTTCAGAGAAAATATCCCTGACTCATCCTTGACTTTTCCCGGACTCATCTGCTGTCTCTGTCGACAAGTTTGGATCCCAATCCCCTAGGGGACCGGTCTTGGGAACCAGTTCACCATATGGGTTACCTACAGCACTCGGTTGAGGGAAGATATCCCTGACTCATCTGCTGGATTCGAACCAGAGACTAACCGAGCCCAACGTTGCTTAACTTCAGGATAATGGGTGTCCCAGTTCTTCTACTTTTTGTAAACAAACAGTCTGACTCGAAAAACACGCTCTTTTTGAAAAACCAACGCCGGATAATAAAAATTTAGATATTTTTACTTATACTATACTTTTTTTTTGCATAAAAATCGCAACTCTAAATAAGTTTTTGATGAGGATGACATTTTAGGGTTTTTTGTCATTACCAGAGCCATTGCTTTATGCAAGTCTGGTATTAAAATATAACCTCTTCAATTAGGCTACATGATGGTTTTAAAAAAAACTTTGAAAAACTTTTGTTTAGTACAAGAAAAATGGCCGCAAATTGAGCAATTGCGCACGAAACTACACACCCATACAAAAGACGATAGTTTAGTCTTGCGATGGACAGTCGGTGCTCTCAATTTGCGGCCATTTTTCTTGTACTAAACAAAAGTTTTTCAAAGTTTTTTTTAAAACCATCATTTAGCTTCAATTGAAGAGCTATATTTTGAGCTATATTTTGAGCTATATTGAAGATTAGCTATATCGCATAATATTGTTTATGATAATCTAAATTGTTTAATTTAGATTCAAAAAGCCGATCGCTTTACGTGACTAGAAGGGTTTACAGGAGGCGACCAGCTATCGACCGGTGGGCGAGGATTGTCTTCATTTGAATATTTTCACAAATGATTACTGCTTGCGTACGGTGAGATCTTTTCCTATTCTTGAGGTCTGTCTGTATACTCGCATAAAGCAATGGCTCTGGTAAATGGCAATTCCATTTGGCACAATTTTCGTTGTTTTTACACTGTTTTTACACAATCTTCATGGTTTCTCAAAAAAACTAATGACGAATTCAGATTGCCAGAATGCTAGTTACAAATTTTCAGATCTACAGCTAACATAGATAGCTAAAAAGGCAAATAATCCAAAAATCTCTTTGTCTTCAATATGTTAAATAATCTTGGATTTGTTTTAAAGCTGATTATCAAATGGATGATTATCAAAAAGCTTTTTGAAGCTGCTTATTCTAAGAAACTTGTCCAAGGTTTTTTTAAAGAATTTCTTCTTTCACAAGTTCTATTCAATTTTTGAACAATATTTTTGAGAACATAATTTCCCTTCCGTGGTCGCCAGTTGGAATCAATTGGATCAAAAACTTGTACACCGACGGGACTCGAACCCGTGACCGCCCCAGAAAACCTATAGATACAAATTTTCAGCTTTTTTAGCTCTTCTAAAATACTCTCGTTTAGATAACCGAAAAACGGGTGTGTTAACAAAGAGTTAAGTCGAGGCGCGAGAAAATAATTTTCCTGGTTGGAACCAAATTTAAAGAGATAGGGAACCAATCGTCGCCAGTTGGAATCAGTTGTAATCAATTGGATCAAAAACTGGTACATCGCCAGGACTCGAACCCATGCCCTTTCTCCTCTCAGGCAACTGTGCTAATCATTACACCACAAGGCATTTGATTCCCTTACTCCAGACGGAGTTAACTTATGAAAATATTGCTAAATCCTTGTTTACCCCTCCATCGGAACTCGGCATGCATTCGGCATTCGAGCTGCAAATGTTTCGTCCACATGGTTGTCCTCTGTTTAACGGGATGTGTACATTTAGCCGCTCATCTCCACGTGAAGCTGAAAAATTGTGCTGCAAAGTGTGACAGTAAATTGAGTACAAAAGCCAGAGAAATTTCCTTACCTGGTTGTTGTTGCGGGTATTGAACTGGTGGTTGGGGCGGGCGTTGTCGTTCCTCTTCTTTTGCTGGTGGACCACAGTGATCAACACCGTCACCCTCGTACCAGCCTCTGAAATTCGTGATCAGTTTAACTTCTCATCTTCTCAATACATTAGTGAATAGTTTAATTGGTGGATTTGGTTCAAGCCTAAGCCTAAGCGGAAAGACGAAAAGGAACAAAACTATTCACAAAAGAAATAAACCACAAAACTCTCAAATTCTTTTGTTATCTGGTTCTATTTCAATTTGTTTTCTTTCTTTTGTTATCTGTTTTTTAAAAATAATCTTATTTACACTCACCTGCATTTACAGATTCCAGTCGGAGCTCCTTCAGTGAAGACGCATTCACCCCATTGATGACAATGTTTATGCGTCTTGCATGCGCCTTTCACCATCGGGATTTCCTGAAATCAGAAATCAATGTCCTGTCGTTTATTGGATTACTTTAATTATCAATTCATTATCAATTTATTATCAATTTATTATCAATTCTTCTAAACACAAACAAAGTTTAAGAGAAATTTTGTACTTTTGAGTAATTCTTTGAAATCAGAAAGCAAGTTTTTAAGTTCATTTAACTAGTTCATTTAACTAGTTCATTTAACTAGTTCATTTAACAAGTTCATTTAACAAGTTCATTTAACAAGTTCATTTAACAAGTTCATTTAACTGTAGCAAGTTCATTTAACTTTCTAGATTTATAACTAGATTTCTAATTTCTAGATTTCTTAAATAAGCTTTCTAGATTTTAGTGATCTGTCTTGAACTGTAATTTGCTTTGTAAAATTGTGAAAAATCTAACCGGAGCCCTTGGGTCTGGATGTCCATTATGTCCATGCGCGTGGTGTCTGTGTGGATGCTGCTGTTGTTGTTGTTGCTGCTGTTGTTGTTGTTGTTGCTGTTGATGTTGTTGACGATCAGAACCATCAGCTTGCGTGTTCCCACCTGTAATCTCAATATTTTGGCTGTGTTAACAAAGAGTTAAGTCGAGGTGCGAGAAAATAATTTTCCTTCCGTGGTCGCCAGTTGGAATCAGTTGGATCAAAAATTTGTACGCCGCCGGGACTCGAACCCATGACCTTTCGCTTACGAGGCAACTGTGCAAATCATTACACCACAAGGCATTTGACTCCCTTACTCCAGAGGGATTGCGATTGCGCTTGCTTTTTAAGGCATATGATTCAAAACTTTGAAACAAAACTTTTTGTGTTGAAAACAATGAAATTTTTGCTTAAAATCTCACCAAAACAATGGAAACCATCACCGGAGAAGCCTTGCTTGCATTCACATTGAAAACCGCCTTCAGTGTTTCGGCAATTCGCATTCGAATCACAAGTGTGCTCTCCCCGTTGACACTCATCGATGTCTGAGAGGAAAAATGATGATCAAAATGAATCAAAATGATTATTAGGGAAATATGCAAAATATTATGAATGTTTTGACTCATTTTAAGCCGATGAAACTTTGATTTTTGATATTGCATAAAACCACGAACCGACACAAAGCCAGCCGATCGCGCTGCTCGAGTCATGTTTCGCTTGATAACCGGCTACACATTCGCATCTAAAAAGTGGTATCTTTAGAAGCAAAGAACAATTCAAAAACCCTTAACTAGACAAGATGAATAGCTCTTTTCATATCTCAAAATTAATCCACCTTTACTCTAAATCCACCTTTACTCTAAATCCATCTATAACTCTAAATCCACCTTTACTCTAAATCCACCCTTACTCTAAATCCACCTTTACTCTAAATCCACCTTTACTCTAAATTCACCTTTACTCTAAATTCACCTTTACTCCAATTCCACCTTTACTCTAAATCCACCCTTACTCTAAATCCACCTTTACTCTAAATCCATCTATAACTCTAAATCCACCTTTACTCTAAATCTACCTATAACTCTAAATCCACCTATAACTCTAAATCCACCTTTACTCTAAATCCATCTATAACTCTAAATCCACCTTTACTCTAAATCTACCTATAACTCTAAATCCACCTATAACTCTAAATCCACCTTTACTCTAAATCCATCTATAACTCTAAATCCACCTTTACTCTAAATCTACCTATAACTCTAAATCCACCTATAACTCTAAATCCACCTTTACTCTAAATCCATCTATAACTCTAAATCCACCTATAACTCTAAATTCACCTTTACTATAAAACAAAAAGCCATACTAGCTGATGATTTCCACCAAAAAAACAAATTGCTTTAGCTTTGTAATTTCAAAAAAAGGTTTCGTTTTGAAGCCATTCGGCTCGCTATAACTTTCTTTTGGAATTGACTGATTTAGAAAGGGAATTGACTGATTTAGAAAGAGAATTGACTGATTCTGAAATACAGAAAGGCTGTATAATGCTGTATAATGAACTGTTTCAAAGTTTATCAACTCTAAAAGAAAGCCAGTAGTTTTTTTTAAAAGTTATGCCTCAAGAACAGAACAAGTTTACTATAAAATTGTACCTGTAAGAGTGGTCGACGGGTCGACAACTCATACTTGGAAGGGTGCACACATGGCGTCCATGAGCGCACACGTCTTGAACCTAAACAAAAATTTCTCTGGTTTATTTGAAAGACTACAAATCTGGTTACAGCTTTGATTTGTACTTTGTGCTTAAAACTGTAAACAAGCCCTTTCTAGTGCAATCATGTTACAGTTTTCAAGCTTTGATCGTCATTGCGAGAAAGTGAAGTGAATTGAGTGCATCAGGAAGGGTTTGTTTAGAAATTTCAGCACAAAGTACAAAGCCTTAACGGTCCTTAACGGTTCTCTTAACGGTCCTTAACAATCCTTAACGGTCCTGCTACTCTTGATTTCAATTTTACAAACAATTACTATTAGGGAAAGTGTTGTTCTTAAAAAATATCTAAGCCAACCACACTATATAGCCTAAAGTCGAGTTTTTCTGGTTGGATATTTTAGGTAGACTTGCTTAACGGTCTTGCTTTTACGGTTTTAGGTAGATTTGTTTAACTTCCTCTTAACAGCTCTGGACTAAAACTTCAGCAAACTATGCTAAAATGCAATCAACTAATTACCCGTTGTCATCTTCAGATTTAATCCAAAAGCTTGATAAATTTTTGAAGAAAACGAAACACCAGCAGGTGACCGGAATAAAACCTTCGTTGTATGGGCAACGTTAAGAACCGGTACTGTTAAGAACCGGTACTGTTAAGAACCGGTACTGTTAAGGACTGGTACTGTTAAGGACTGGGGTACTGTTAAGGACTGGTACTGTTAAGGACTGGGGTACTGTTAAGGACTGGTACTGTTAAGGACTGGTACTGTTAAGGACTGGGGTACTGTTAAGGACTGGTAGTGTTAAGGACTGGGGTACTGTTAAGGACTGGTACTGTTGGGACTGGGGTACTGTTAGGGACTGGTACTGTTAGGGACTGGTACTGTTAAGGACTGGTACTGTTAAGACGGGGTACTGTTAAGGACTGGTAGTGTTAAGGACTGGGGTACTGTTAAGGACTGGTACTGTTAAGGACTGGGGTACTGTTAAGGACTGGGGTACTGTAGGACTGGTACTGTTAGGGACTGGGGTACTGTTAAGGACTGGTACTGTTAAGGACTGGTACTGTTAAGGACTGGGGTACTGTTAAGGACTGGTAGTGTTAAGGACTGGGGTACTGTTAAGGACTGGTACTGTTAAGGACTGGGGTACTGTTAAGGACTGGTACTGTTAAGGACTGGTACTGTAGGACTGGGGTACTGTAGGGACTGGTACTGTTAAGGACTGGTACTGTTAGGACTGGTACTGTTAGGGACTGGGGTACTGTTAGGACTGGTAGTGTTAGGGACTGGGGTACTGTTGGACTGGTACTGTTAAGGACTGGGGTACTGTTAAGGACTGGGGTACTGTTAAGGACTGGTACTGTTAAGGACTGGGGTACTGTTAAGGACTGGTACTGTTAAGGACTGGTACTGTTAAGGACTGGGGTACTGTTAAGGACTGGGGTACTGTTAAGGACTGGTACTGTTAAGGACTGGGGTACTGTTAAGGACTGGTACTGTTAAGAACCGGTACTGTTAAGGACCGGTACTGTTAAGAACCGGTACTGTTAAGGACCGGTACTGTTAAGAACCGGTACTGTTAAGAACCGGTACTGTTAAGGACCGGTACTGTTAAGAACCGGTACTGTTAAGGACCGGTACTGTTAAGAACCGGTACTGTTAAGGACCGTTAAGCAAGTCTAGATCTAACGATTTGCCGATCCAGCAAACCGTTATATCGAGAGTCAACTGTACATAGTAAAAAAGTTCATTGTAAGCTAGGCAGCTACTCACATTTGCAGCCTCAGCACTCGGTCGTTGTGGCTGCGGTGGTTGTGGTGGGACCGCCGGTTGCCGTTGCTCGCTTCCCGTTGTCCTTTGTGTGTCAGCGAAATTTCGAGAAGCGTACCTAGAGCAATAATCAAAAATCAATAAGCTAGAGCAATAATTTTCAAAAATATCGTAAAATTTCAGTATTTTGATCTGAGCATCAGTATTTAACTGAAAAAAAAAAGTGAAAAGTTGAACTTTTTTTGGCAAATCTAACAGTAACAAATTTAACAGTAAATCCAGATTTTCCCTAATTAATTAACTAATTATTTAAACACTTACCGAACGATTTTATCCGTTTGATCATAGGTGACATGAGCTCGTTTAACGTTTAGAGTAACCACATCAGTGCGATCAAACTAAAGTGCAAAAACCAAGTTTGAAAGTTTGAAGAAAGTTTAATGGCTAACGTAATTTCTAAAAACTACTTTTTATTGCTACCGTATTTCCTCTAATAAACGCCCCCCCCCCCTTGACCAACTTTGGACGCTTCGTTCTCAGCTCCATTTGGAGATATTTTTATGTTTAATATATCAAAAGATAGAAGACATTAAGGGCTATCTTTTGATATATTAAACATAAAAATACCTCAAAATGGGGCTGAGAACGAAGCGTCCAAAGTTGGTCAAGGGGGGGGGCGTTTATTAGAGGAAATACGGTATTTATTATTTCTTTATTCAAATCGAAAACCTCTTTGAATCGGCATTCATCGTAGTGAATTTGTTGATCGAGCGAGATTTTCAGTGGCATTTTTGTGCCACCCTCATTCACAATGGCCTCGAAATTCGAGTATGATCGAACGAAACCTGAAAATTTTTAGTAGGATCGCTCTATTGCATATCATAGCTAGGTTATTTTAAAACAAATGAAAAAATATCGTAAATCCTGTAATAGTACCCCACCCCCGATAATGACGGTGCGGAGTGTTGCGTAGTCTAGCTTTGAACGTGTTTTTCTCGACACTGGTTTATGCTACAATGCGCGTTTAGATATCAAAAAATAGCCCTGAATTTCAGCTATTTTCAGCTATTATTTGCAGAAAATCACAACTTCTTATTAAAATACTGCAAGACTTAGTCTTTTGCCTGGCTAAAAATTGCTTTAAGAATTTTCAGCTAATAAAGAAAGTGAATAAAAACTAAAGTTTCATTTTTCTCATCTAAATTTGCCAACTTTGATGCCAACTGCAGACTACGCAACACTCCGCACCGCCATTATCGGGGGTGGGGTACTATTACAGGATTTACGGTAAGCAATAATGAAAAAAAGGCTTGGATTTAAGCTAAGCTCAAAAGAAAAAAAACCTAGTTTCAAAGTTGGCAAATTTAGATGAGAAAAATGAAACTTTAGTTTTTATCCACTTTCTTTATTATTCTTAAAATTTTTAAAGCAATTTTTGGCCAGGCAAAAGACTAAGTCTTGCAGTATTTTAATAAGAAGTTGTGATTTTCTGCAAATAATAGCTGAAAATAGCTGAAATTCAGGGCTATTTTTTGATACCCAAACGCGCATTGTAGCATAAACCAGTGTCGACAAAAACTCGTTCAAAGCTAGACTACGCAACACTCCGCACCGTCATTATCGGGGGTGGGGTACTATTACAGGATTTACGGTAAGTATTTGTAAGCTCTAACCTGGTGCCTCTCTGCGATACTCTTCATCATAATCAGCAAATGTTACTTCAGCTCCATCTCGAACTGCGGGCAAGGTTCCGGTCACAAAAACCTGTAATTGTTATTCTTTGTTTTCATTTTTGTAAACACACTCTTTCTAGTGCACTGGATTTTTCGTTTTTCTCGTGACTACAAGAGAAATAAAGATTTCAGTGCACTAGAAAAGTTGTGTTTACAAAAATGAGCAGTAAGCCCGGATTCTTGAGAGAAAAATCTGAACTTATAGTGTAAAAAAACTGGTTATTTTGGTTTTTATCTAATAGGTTGATGCATAAGTCTTTTCGTTTTTTTCGTACTTCTGTTAAAAAGTGACAAATTCACCAATTAATCTATAGTTTTGCTCTATAAAAAAAGTGTTTTTTGTGTTCAATTTGCATCTTTTTAAATGAATTTCGGTTCACTTTCAAGCAAATTCGAGAGTGAAAAACGCCTTTTTCGTAAAAATCTATAAAAAACTCTACGGAAAAATTGGCTGAATGAATTTCTCTGAAATTTTGGCGAAATATCAAACGTTTTTTTTCTCTATCTTTTATCTATTGACACGAAGATAGGTTTTCTTTAGCTAAGGTGTCTAAACCGCATCATCGAGTTAGCCCTTTTTGACTACCCGACTTCATACTCTCAAGAAAATCCAGGCATCAAATATTTTTAAACCCGTTTTAATGTTATTTTGCAGAAAAATAATTGCTTTTTCTAATGAAATCAACCGTAGTTTAATTGGTGCATTTGTTGGCTTGAAACGGCAGACGAAAAGGAACAAAAACACTTATGCATCAACCTATTATGTCCAATTCACTAACTAAATACTAAAGCTTCAATGAAAATCAGCTATGTTTGAAGCTAACTAGAGAACTGCTTCAACTTAGCATCGATTTGAGATATGCTGTCTAGCACACCTTGAAATTCTTGAAGGGATACGTGCTTTTGTGGACACTGAAAGTGATTTTCAGCCATTTTCAGAAGCCCTATTTAGCTTCTTACTCTTTATAGACACTTTAAAAGACCTAAAAATTGATTTTAGTTCTTTTACAGTGAGGTATTGACAAAAAGCAAAAGAGTTTTGACAGTGTTGGGATTCGAACCAGGAGGATGATGCGCGAAGGGCGAGCACACTACCCACTAGAACATTCGGTCGCTGCGACGAGCAAAGTAATTTAACCCCATACCGCGGCGTTTTCCTCAACTCACCGCCACTTTCAAATAATCGTAGGTGTCCCGGCCAGTAAACTGTTGATTGATCGTTACCACCGAGGTGTCTCCAATGTGAACGGTGGCCGTGCGATTGAATTGACCGCCCGTCAATTGGAATCCGTTGTACACGTGAGGGGAGTTTACCTGGAAATATGGTAAGGGTTAGACTGTGCTGTTTGCGGACGAGGCCAGGTCAAGAAAGGTAGCGCTGGCCAGAAGCCAGGTCCTGGGCTTGGTTTCAATGTTAAATTTAGCAAGTTACTAAATTGCTTCTCCATTTAGCGTTTAGCATTTAGCGGATTTAAGATCTAGATGCCGAATAGTTTGATGAAGATAGACCCGGCTGTCTTGGGTTTGCTGCAGACTTTACCCTTCCAGGAGATAGTTCTGGACCTAGCTTGGCCTGGTCTAGCTCTAGGTCTAGGCCTGGTCTAGCTTTAGGTTTAGGCCTGGTCTAGCTCTAAGTCTAGGCCTGGTCTAGCTCTAGGTCTAGGCCTGGTCTAGCTCTAGGTCTAGGCCTGGTCTATCTCTAGGTCCAGGCCTGGTCTATCTCTAGGTCTAGGCCTGGTCTAGCTCTAGGTCTAGGCCTGGTCTATCTCTAGGTCTAGGCCTGGTCTAGCTCTAGGTCTAGGCCTGGCCTAGGGTTACCCCTGGCTGTAAATCCAAGCCCACCTCAGCGAAGAGCCATCCCATGATCGAGCCAACCGGTGACAAGAGAAGAAGCGAGGTTCCAAGCGAGGCGGGCACTCGGCTCACCGCTAAAAACTAGTTTTCGTATGTTGTCAAGCTGTGAGCCTATCAGAAATCGATAAAGCATTCATCATTTATAGTTTAGCTATATTTTGACCTACCCGTGTAAGAGTTTCCATCGGTTCCGGTGACGAAAGTGTGCAAGTCGGTTTTCTCGATTCTCTGTCCATTGATCACTCCTTCGAAAGTGCCGGTGATTCGTTGGGGTTCGCCTAAAGTTTAGATAATTATCACAAGTAAATCAGTACAAGTAAATCAGCTTAAAGAATGTAATCAATCAAACAAACCCAATGAAATAATTGTTTTATCAAATTTGTGACAATGTTGAAGCCAAAAAAAAAAAACGATGTTTCAAATAATTTAAAATCAAAAGCGTATGTTGGGATTTAATAGTTAATACACTTCACTTTTGCATAATTTCGATTTTTGCCTCGTTTTTAATCCATCTTTTTGAAACTTTTAGTTTTCCAGAGTTGATTTTGATTGATCAAAAAATCACAGTTGATGTGAGTTGATTGTTTTCCACAGTTGATCAAAATCAACTGTGGTCACTTGATCACTTTTGATCGACTCAAAAAGTTATTAGAAATTGAAATATTTCAAAAATGAACTGAACAAAAAATATAAAAACTTCAACTCAAACTTCAATAATCAAATCAACGCTTCACTTTTTGTTTTAACGTTACCTTTTTTCACGCACTCTTTCCCATTTCCATAGTAAGGTGAATTGCACGAGCAACAGAAACCGAGAGCGTAGTCCTAAAGAAAAATGACAATGAAATGACAAAGATTTGGCATAGATTGGCTTAGATTTGGCTTAGATTTGGCTTAGATTTGGCTTAGATTTGGCTTAGATTTGGTTTAGATTTGGGTTAGATTGGCTTAGATTTGGCTTACGAGGGAACTACAACTACTTACCACCTCAGATCGACTCCAAAATCACAGGGGGGGAAAGATCATCACAAAAGAAGAATTTTCTGAAATTTTTAGCTGCTAAATGCCAGAACTAACTGAAATATAAGGTTTCAAAGTTCAAAGTAGCTTAAACTTAAACATTTTTGGGACTTGCACGGCACTCTTTAAAGGGAACTCTCACAGGCACTCGCACAGGTTAGCCGAGTGGCCGAGTGGTTAGGAGCGCGACCTGGTAGTCCGAGTGTCGCTGGTTCGGCTCCACCCTAAAAGTTTTTCTTTTTTTGCAAAACCACATAATGTGCGTTCTATTTTTTTCGCTTTTCAAAGTTTATTCTGATTTTTTTACCATAAAAGGTGAGAAAGTCATCCGCGTCGTTCAAAGTTTATTAGTTTTAAATAAAGTTTTGTTATCCTCACCTTTTATGGTAAAAAAATCATCTAACCACTCAGCCACTCGGCTAACCTGTGCGAGTGCCTGTGAGAGTTCCCTTTAAAGAGTGCCGTGCAAGTCCCAAAAATGTTTAAGTTTAAGCTACTTTGAACTTTGAAACCTTATATTTCAGTTAGTTCTGGCATTTAGCAGCTAAAAATTTCAGAAAATTCTTCTTTTGTGATGATCTTTCCCCCCTGTGATTTTGGAGTCGATCTGAGGTGGTAAGTAGTTGTAGTTCCCTCGTTAGATTTGGCTTTTAGACACGTAAAAGATATTTAGCCGATTAAAGGATATTCAGTAAAGATATTCAGTAAAGGTATTTAGCCCATTTAATTTGCATACGCATCAATTTCTTTAATTGACGCATTAGTTGAGACAAATCCTGATTAATTCCCCTTTAATCGATTCAAATTTTTTAAGGAAATTCATTCAATATTTAATCACAAGGAAAACACTCCAGTGAAAACGTTTTCCCACCTGACACCTCGCATTCGGATTACAGCTATTCGCCTGGCACGTTCCGTCATCATCCGAATTCTTTGGGATTTTCACTTCCAATTCCTCGTCAACTTTGTTATTCTCAATGGCCACTCGATCCACTTTCAGTTCTGCCCGGTTCTTCTCGATCAATCGTGGGTCCAATGGGTGCAGTTCTAAAACAGTAATCGTTGGCATTGGCATTGGCCTTGGCATTGGCATTGGCATTGGCCTGGGCCTTGGTATTGGCCTTGGCCTTGGCATTGGCATTGGCCTTTGCCTTGACATTGGCCTTGACATTGGCCTTTGCCTTGGCATTGGCCTTTGCCTTTGCCTTTGCCTTGGCCTTGGCAAAGAATCTGTTGCATTTTTGTCCTCAAAGAAGACATTAATCTAATATATTTTTTTCATTTTGAAACCACTAAAACTAAAATGCTACGAGCTAATGATTTGAAAAGTAATGTTTCACTTTGACTCACTCACTTTGTTTTACTTTGTTTCCCAAAAGGGTCGAATGAACTGTTGTTGAGGCATTTTTGAATTAATAGTCAACGAAAACTCAAAATCTTTGTTAGCTTGTTAGAAAGGTAATGTTTCATTTTAAGCCTTTCATCTTTAAAATTCAGCTAAATTTGTAAATTTGTTGCTAGCTTGTCAATTGAGAAATGCTTTCAAAGTGATACATTTAAGTTTTCATTTTCGAAGTTTTCGATGTCTCATTTTTTGTGCTAACACAGTTTATCTCTGAATTAGTTGAAAAGCTTTAAATTCTTGTAATATCTAAATTTCCGTAACTTTACCAACCCTCTTCCACTTCTTCTCGAGAATCTGGTGGATCCGGGATCTCTTCATCGACTTGATTTCCTTGGGGAATTTCCGGGGCTTTTGGTTCTGAAAGGCTTTGATTTATAAAAAATAGCCAAAATAAATCACTTTATCAATTTCTTATTTAAGTTAGTTTTTTAGAATCAAAGAGAATGAAACTTTTCAACTTTTCTATTAACTTAAAAGCTTATAAAGTCTACTAATGGGATATTTGATTACAAACTCACCAGCACAAACGCACAGTGAGCAACCCCGATCATCGGTCAACACATTGCATCCCTTTGGACAATGATCTCGATATGGATCCGGTGGGCATTCGCTTTTTCGAGTACCTGGAAAATAGCCGAATTTACTATATATAAAAGAAAGCAGTGTTTGTTCGTCTGTCTGCCTGTCTGTCTGTCTGTCTGTCTGTCTGTCTGTCTCTCTGTACGGATAAACTGTATGGAATTGGGCCAAGGAATTTTTAGTCTGTTAGTCCGAGTTTACTATATATAAAAGAAAGCAGTGTTTGTCCGTCTGCCTGGCTGTCTGTACGGATAAAACTGTATGGAATTTGTGGGCCAAGATTAGGCCAAAAAAACAAATTATTTAGCAAGTCTTAAAAGTATGCCATAAAAAATCAAAAATTCAAAATTGACTCGCACTACGGGAGGTCGAACCCGGGTCGTGTGGGTTGTAGACAAGCACACTCCCGACTGCACCACGCCGACCAGGCACGTCGTCCCCAAAACAGCAAGAAAAACCCGCCGTTAGACGTTTTCCGGCTAGTTTCAAGATAGCTTTAAAAGCTGAATTTAGCGTTAAAAAAAGTCAAGTTTCAAATTTTTTCAAATGCAAAAATATAGCCATTGACTGAATAACTCTACAGGGTTTTCCAAAAAAAAGTTAATTCAGCTCGATTTTTCTTAGTATTTCCAGTGGCTCCTGGTTGTTTTGGTGCCAAAGTGAATATTTTGAAAGGGCAAATTTTTGATATTTCACTTTCCCCCGATTTCTTGACTCCCAATTACATTGAGATTTCTAAGCCACCATGGTCATCACCATGAGACTTTTGCCATAAAATTAAAAATGGCATCGTGGTGTCATATTAGAGTTAATATATATCTCGTAGCCGATTATGAATGATTGGGTGTAGGCGCGTCCAACCATCAAGTTTTTGGTATCATTCAACGCATGAGATAGGGATAGGGAGTTTGATAGGGAGTTTGATAGAGAATTTGATAGGGAATTTGATAGGGATAGAGAATTTGATAGGGAATTTGATAGGGATAGAGAATTTGATACGGAATTTGATAGGGATAGAGAATTTGATTTCAAGTCGAATGAAAGCAAATTCAAACTTTTGTTCAAACAAACCCGGTTAAGATACGAGTAAAATAAGTAGATTGCCAACGGCAAAAGAAAAAAGGGGCGGAGTCAACCTGCCTTACATATGCGCTATCTTCTATCGTATATAAGCCAGCGTAGCCAGCGTAGCCAGCGGGAAACAGACCGAAAAGGGACGAAAAAAAGGAGTTAACATGTCTGCTCCTAGTTAAAAGAGGCAGACATGTTAACTCCTTTAAATGTTTTCCTTTCCAAAAGAATAACATAATAAGCAGATTCTTTTGGAAAGAAAAACATTGAAAAACTATTATCACTGCAGTGTTACGGCTTTTTCTTTCAAAATCCCGAACCTTTCCCCGATTTTCCTTCTTTATTCTCGTCATCATCCGTGTAATCGTCAGGATATGTGTATTCCTCGTCTCTCGGATCTTCCAAAGCACTCCCCGAGATTCGATACATGAATTGCCCCTGATTTTCGTTGTTGGAGAGGCTAGAAATTGGTTGGCTAGGTGAGTGAAAAGTAAACTTCTAACGAAAAAGATCTGTCGATCCTTTTTTTGACTCAAAATATGACTTTTGACTCAAAACTTCACGCAAAGTTATGCGGCAAAAGGTTAAATCCCGCTTATAATAAACCAGGTTTAAGTTTTTAGCCAACAACTTTGCATGGATATTATATTTTGTGGCAAATTTTGGTTTCATTTGATGCGCAATTTTATTCTGCGGCGAATGATAGTCAAAATAGACAAAAATCAAAGAGTTGATGCTGAGAAAAACACGAAAAACCTTAAATTGTCAACGACAAAAAAGGATCGACAGATATTTTCGTTACAAAAATAGTGGAAAGCTTTTTCTTTCGCAATTATTAGATTTAATTGAGCATGACAGCCAAGTTGCAACTAGCTTTATTTACTGTATTCTCTCTAGTAGTAGTGCACCGAGTTGGTGGCCGAGTTGGTGACTATTTTACTATTTAACCCGTGAGCTCCTGACTAGAATACAAGACTCCTAACCACTCAGCCATGGCGGGATCAATATATAATATATCGTATTTTCTCTAATAGTAGTGCACCGCGACGAGCCGAGTTGATGACTATTTTACGGTTTCTAAGTTTTTGCCGAAGCTCAACACTCTGGTCCCCAACAAGATCTCATTGTCAGCTACATTTTCCGACCCCACATCGATAGGTTCTGATAAACAGTTCTCGAGATTTTGAGTAATTTAGACGACGCCCAGGGTGCACTAGTATTAGAGAGAAGACGGTAGTTATATTCTAAGCAGGCAGAAAGACAGGCTACAGTCAGCTAGCCAGATCTAGAGTCAGCTCTGACTGACGGACACTCAGGGATTCCTATCGGCCCGGCTCAGCTTGAACAATCGTGACTCGCTTCCTGATTTATACTGCTTGTACCTCTCAATCCCCCACTAAATCTCATCGTCAGCTACATTTTCCGACCCCAAATCGATAGATTTTGATAAGCGGTTCTCGAGATTTCGAGAAATTTAGACAAAGCTCAGAGTGCACTACTATTAGAGAGAATACAATAACAAAATTTTTACTTACTTTGTCAAATCGACAATCGTGTCCGTTCCACTGTTTACATTCAGTTGATATCGACCGTCTTTATGCGAAAAGCCTGATTGGGCAAATCTGAAAAAAAATTGATCGTTTATAATATAATTCACTTGTGCTCAAGGTATGCATTGTGCTCAAAAATCTAAACGCATCCTTTCTGTAGCACTTAATTCTTCACTTTTCTTACAGTAACTATTTGTTATCATGAAAAAGGATGAGTTTAAATTTTTGAGCACAAAATACAATGGAAAAATGCATACCTCCCATCTGATGAAGCCCATGAAAGCGTTTTGTACTCCATAATCGCATAGGATTCGATTCCATCAGAGGCCAGTGTTAGCTGAAGAGATTAAATTACGGTATTTATTAGAAAATGGTACAAAAAAGTACTAAGTAAAGTACTGGGATTACTATAATAGACTATAATAGACTATAATAGACTATAATAGACTTAAAAATACTTCTTTTTTCTTTTCTTTCTTTCTAAAGTCTATATTTTGTTTCACGATCGGGTTCGGGATCAGAAACTAATTATTATGTTAATTATTATTCAGTAATTATTATGCTAAGCCTGAATCTGTTATTCTCTCTACCGTATACCGTATTCTCTCTAACATTAGTGCACCCTGGTCATCGTCTAAATTACTCGAAATCTCGAGAACCGCTTATCAGAACCTATTGATTTGGGATCAGAAAATGTAGCTGACGATGAGATCTTGTGGGGGATTTGAGTGTTGAGCTTCTAGGAAAAATTGGAAACCGTAAAATAGTCATCAACTCGGCTCGCCGGGGTGCACTACTATTAGAGAGAATACGGTAAATAAAGCTAGTTGCAAAATTGCCGCCATGCTGGCATAAAGACGATATCAACTAAATGTGAACAGTGGAACGGACACGATTGTCGATTTGAAAAAGCAAGTAAAAATTTTGTTACCGTATTTTCTCTGATAGTAGTGCACCCTGAGCGTCGCCTAAATTTCTCGAAATCTCGAGAACCGCTTATCAAAATCTATCGATTTGGGGTCGGAAAATGTAGCTGACGATGAGATCTAGTTGAGGGATTAGAGTGTTGAGATTCTGCAAAAGCTTGAAAACAGTAAGATAGGCATCAACTCGGCTCGCCGGGGTGCACTACTATTAGAGAGAATACGGTATTTGAAATAATCCAAACTATTATTATGATATATAAAGTTTGAACTTGGAACATAACTACCGGATTCTCTCTAATAGTTGTGCACCCTGAGCGCCGCCTAAATCCCTCGAAATCTCGAGAACCGCTTATCAGAACCTATCGATGTGGGATTGGAAAATGTAGCTGACGATGAGATCTAGTGGGGAATTAGAGTGGTGAGCTTCTGCAAAAACTTAGAAATCGTAAAATAGTCATCAACTCGGCACTACTATTAGAGAAAATTCTATCAATCAAGCGGTAATTCTACCACTCAAACTCGGGTTTAATTTAGCTAAACTTCAAGATGAGTTTGAAAACCTATTAGCCTATTTTGGAGAGGAGATTTGCAGCTTTCCATTGATCAAATAAGCATAGATTAACAGTTATCTATTCTTAGAAACATTCTTAACAGTTTACAATACGATAATTATAAAAATACGCTAGTTTATTGAATACTTTTTGAGAAAAGCAAAACTTTCTTAGTTTTTTTAGTTGATGTTTCAGAATAAATGATTTCAGAAGAAGATTTGAATGTTTAATTCGACCAAGCTCATTCCCTAAAATTCTCAAACCTGATAGGTGTTCCCGCTTTGTCGCTCTTTATTCACCATGTTTTCCCATGTAATCACAACAGCCTAAAAGGGATTTTTAGCTGAATATCTTTAAAGCGATAGTAAAAGGATTTGACTGAATAACTTTAAAGTGATAGCAAAAGGGATTTTAGCTGAATATGTTCAAAATTATGCAGTAAATCTCGTGCATTGATACCTTAATTGGCTCCTAATTCGATTACCTCGCCTAGCAATCTCAACAAGTTCAACAAACAACAATATATTCAAATTTTAAATCTCTTTTTGGCTTTAAAAACTTTAGCAAAGCCAACTGGTCCGTGTTTTTGAAGCCATGATGCTTTGGGAGTTCATTTAAGTTTTAAAACGCATTAGAAAGCTTTAGAATTTATTAAAGCGGTATTTTTTGAGTAATAATTTGAAACCTGAAATTGTGAAAGCTTAAACTCAAACCTGTAAAGTGTTAAAATCGTCGTCGTCACTGAAAACCGAGCGAATATCATCAGAGATTTTCTTCAAAAGTGCTCGATCGGAGGAGGTACTTCTGAGAAAATTTTCGTTTCGTTTTGTTATTTTTGTGAAGATTTTTTTATATAAAAAACCATTATTGAAGCTAAAATTTCTAAAGTTTAAAGTTAAAATAGTTTTATAGCTTTTATAGATTTGGTTTTGATTTGATTTGATTTGATTTGATTTTGATTTTGATTTGATTTGATTCTATTGCTGATTTTCTATTGCTGAAAGCATGCCTCAAGGCTAGAAAGCTTGAAACTTGTAAATGTTTGATTACATTATTGATTACATTATAGATTACATTATTGATTTCATTATTGATTTCATTTGCATTATGATTTCTATATAATTTGCTTGTCTAAAGCTCAATGAAAGCTAAAGCTCAATGAAAGCTAAAGCTCAATGAAAGCTAAAGCTCAAATCAATGAATATGCTTCTAAATATTGGGTTGGTGAATTGAAAACTGCCGAACTTTGAACTAAAATTTCTTCAACATAAAACGATCAATTCATTCCATCAATTCCATTATTATTAACGACTTCTGCCCATTTTACAGGCAATTTTCGTCTCCTCTTTCGTAGTAGGATTTTGGTTTGTGTGTGAGACAAGTGGGAGACTCAAAAATGGAGGACTGGCGATGTCCCAGTTTGAGCATTTGAGCACTTTCTTCAAAAGAAACCCATTTTGGTGTCAATGGAAAAGTTGTAGAGAATCAAAAATCAAGCTTATAGCCAAATTTCCAGGAAGATACACTTAGTAGTTTCGCTTAAAATGCAAGTTTTGTTGCAAATTTTGTGAAAATTCGTAAATTTGACATTTCTTGAAAACCAGTTTTTGAATCGTTCTGAAAATTTGGATATAAGCTTGATTTTTGATTCTCTACAACTTTTCCATTGACACCAAAATGGGTTTCTTTTGAAGAAAGTGCTCAAATTGTGACATATGACAATAGCCCGCAGTTTTCAATTCACCACCCCATAGAAGCTAAAGTTTCTAAAGTTTAAAGTTAAAATCGTTTTATAGCTTTTGCAAAATTCAATCCTGAGCATTCTTTGGTCAATTTTTTTGGTTACCTGATGAAGAAATTCCCGCCACTGACTGCTGAATAGTAAACAGCGATCACAGATCGATTAAGGCCTTGAACCGATCGAATATGATCTGAAAAAGGTTTTCAAATTAAAAATTAATCTAATTCTTAAGAATCTAAAGATTCAGCTTAATCTTTTCCTATCTTTGCAGAAAAAAAGAGAAAATGAAAGACAAAAAGAAAGACAAAAAGACAAAAAAGAAAAGCCAAACCAGCCTAAGCTAAACCAGCCTAAGCCAAATCAGCCTAGGCCAAACTCCAGCCTAAGCCAAACTCCAGCCTAAGCCAAACTCCAGCCTAAGCCAAACTCCAGCCTAAGCCAAACTCCAGCCTAAGCCAAGCCAGCCTAAGCCAAACTCCAGCCTAAGCTAAACCAGCCTAAGCTAAACCAGCCTAAGCCAAACCAGCCTAAGCTAAACCAGCCTAAGCCAAACCAGCCTAAGCTAAACCAGCCTAAGCCAAATCAGCCTAGGCCAAACTCCAGCCTAAGCCAAGCCAGCCTAAGCCAAACTCCAGCCTAAGCCAAACTCCAGCCTTTCAAAGAGTTTTAAAATTTTGCTCTATTTCCTGTTTGCCTTATTCATTTCAAACAAATCGATATTGGATAAAGGTTTTTCAAAATTTAAATTCAAATTGCACAAATTAGCACAAACCATCCGGCAAGCGTTCCCCGAAAGCCACAATTCCTTGATTCGAGACGAAAATCTCGCTTTCCGATTTGCCCAAGAAAATGATTGGAATGTCCACCGTTTTCGCGAACCAAGCGCCATCTTTTGGATTCTAAAGCTTAACAATTCAAAATTTTGTAATAAAAACAAAGAAAAATCAATCATTTGAAGTCAAATTTGTTGTTAAGCTTGTTTGTTAGCTTGTTTTAAGCTCTAATAAATCAACGGATTTTTCACCCGGAGGCTAATTTTGGATAGCCACTAAAAATTCAATTTTAAAACTTGCTTTTTGTGTTTTAAATTAAGAACTACCATCTTAAAATCGTATATTGCAATATATCGTAGTAGAAGTAGAAGAATAGATTCTAATAGAGTATTCTAATAGGGTATTCTAATAGAAAAGCACTCTAAAATACTTGAAAAATCGTTTTTCTGAACTCTTTCGCGTGAATTGATCAATTTGGATTGTTTTAAAGCTGTTTTGAAGCTATTTTAAAGCTGTTTTGTAGCTGTTTTGAAGCTTTTTTGTAGCTTTTTTGTAGCCTGTTTTGAAGCTGTCTTGTAGCCTGTTTGAAAGCTGTTTTAAAGCTATTTTGTAGCTGTTTGGTAGCTGTCTTGTAGCTGTCTTGTAGCCTGTTTTCAAGCTATTTTGTAGCTGTCTTGTAGCCTGTTTTAAAGCTGTTTTGAAGCTTTTTTGTAGCTTTTTTGTAGCCTGTTTGAAAGCTGTTTTAAAGCTATTTTGTAGCTGTTTGGTAGCTGTCTTGTAGCTGTCTTGTAGCTGTCTTGTAGCCTGTTTTAAAGCTATTTTGTAGCTGTCTTGTAGCCTGTTTTAAAGCTGTTTTGAAGCTGTTTTGTAGCTGTCTTGTAGCCTGTTTGAAAGCTGTTTTAAAGCTATTTTGTAGCTGTTTGGTAGCTGTCTTGTAGCTGTGTTGTAGCCTGTTTTCAAGCTGTTTTGTAGCTGTTTTGTAGCCTGTTTTAAAGCTGTTTTCAAGCTTTTAAAATACAAATTTTGTGGGCAAATATTAGGGCAATTTTGGCAATAGCTAAATTTTTTCGAAAGTATAACAAGAAAAGCCTCATATTTTTCGTCTATTCTATTGATGAAATGGTAATTTATCGATAAAAAAAGAGAAATCTCTACTCACCACATCGCCTTTGCTCACCCCGAACGGGTAAAGACCGAGCGAAACGGCGAAAAGTTGCCACAAAAGTATGAGGAGGGCTTGTAACCGCATCCTGGAACAAAGATATATTGAATATTGTTTTGAAATTGTTTTGAAAACAATATTGAAAACAAAAAAAGATATAAATTGAATTTACGGATAAATATTAGAGTTCAAATCGAGTTTAAAATAAAAAAAAAATCGCGTTGAAAATGATGAGTTTCAAATTAAGCGACTTTAAAAGTTTTCTAATTTCTTTAGTCTTTAAACAATGATTTTTAAAAACAATGATAATTTAAAAAGATTTAAAAGTGTAAAAGTTAAAGCTGTTTAAAAGCTGTTTAAAAGCTGTTTAAAAGCTGTTTAAGAGCTGTTAAAAAGCTGTTAAAAAGCTGTTAAAAAGCTGTTAAAGAGCTGTTTAAAAGCTGTTTAAAGAGCTGTTAAAGAGCTGTTTAAAGAGCTGTTAAAGAGCTGTTTAAAGAGCTGTTTAAAGAGCTGTTAAAGAGCTGTTTAAAGAGCTGTTAAAGAGCTGTTAAAGAGCTGTTAAAAAGCTGGTTAAAAAGCTGTTTAAAAGCTGTTTAAAAGCTGGTAGAAAGCTGCTTAAAAGCTGTTAAAGAGCTGTTTAAAGCTTTAAAAAGAAAATCGAGAATTGAACACATTGCCCGAGATAAGTTTATCTTGTTTTCTAGACGCAAAAACTTTTCAAAGACACTCTCCGGCAGACTCGGCTCTTTTTTCAGAGAAAGTCAATGAATTCAGCAGAAAAAAAAGAACTGGCTCACTCGTAAATCGCCTTTTTCTTTTTTGATAAGGGAACGCCGAAATATTGGACTGAATGGGCAAATGGGCAGAGAAAAAAAGGGATGGTCAGTGCAGGAAAGCTTTTGTGTGCTTGGAGTTCTATGGCTCAAACTAACTTATTGTTATTACCTGCCAAAAATAGCCTTAACAGCCTTAACATTGGTTTTTTCTGACGGGCAGCTATTCCCGAGAGCTAAACTGACAAGTTAAATTGACAAGTTAAACTGACAAATCAAACCGACGAGCTAAACTGACGAGCTAAACTGACGAGCTAAACTGACAAGTTAAACTGACGAGTTAAACTGATCTAAAGCAATACTGAATCGAATCCCAAGTCACATTTTAGTGCATTTGAACCGCAAAACACAAGAAAAACCCATTGAAAACCCGTCCTTGAGACTCACACATCCTACAGCTGCACCGAGAGTTCCCAGCTGGGCGCTTTGGGAGAAAAAAAAGAAGTCAAAAAGTTTCATTGCATAGTAAAAAATGAGTTTTTTGTCTGAAAAATGCGTTGAACGAGTTGGCGGATTTTTATTCAGCAAAAATCATTAAAAAAAGCATTTTATAGCTTTCATGAAGTAAAATTTATTGAGTTTCAAAGTGATTGATATTTTAAAAAATACCGACTGGGGCTACCAGTGGTGAATTTATCGCATACACGAAATATATGAATCACAATACAACGACACACACAATACTAGGCTATATCTTAACTTAACCCACGTCATGACAGACGGCTCCCTAACCCTAAGCTCAATGGGGAACTAAATAGCTTTTTTGGTGGTGAAGGGAAGATGACGATGAAGGAGTGGCTTGTCACTTTAAAGAACTGGGGCCACAACCACCAGACTGCCCTCCAGAAAACCTCTCAACCCGAAGGGAAAGGAAATCCGAAGGGGGTGACCATGTCGCATGTGGGGTTCGAACCCTCGACCTTCCGATTAAGATAAAAGACACTTAACCAGTCAGCCACACGTGCTTTTATTTGGCTAAAATTCCTCTCAGTCAGTTTACGATGATTGCGCGTTGGAGGTGAAATTTACCTAATTTATCATATAATTACTATATTGCCATATAATTTGCTTAATTTACTTACCGTAAATACTGTAATAGCACCCCACCCGCCTCGTACACTCGCGTAGTCGCAAAAATTTTAGTCGTTTTTTGGTATTTCATTTTTTTCAAAGCGCCCGTACTTCCAAAAAATGCGTCTTTGGTATCAAAAAAAAAGCCCTGAATTTCAGCTATTTTTTGATACCTAAACGAGCATTGTAGCATAAACCAGTGTCGAGAAAAACTCGTTCAAAGCTAGACTACGCAGCGCTCCGCGCCGTCATTATGGGGGTGGGGTACTATTACAGTATTTACGGTAAGCAATAATGAAAAAAAGGCTTGGATTTAAGCTAAGCTCAAAAGAAAAAAGCCTAGTTTCAAAGTTGGCAAATTTAGATGAGAAAAATGAAACTTTACTTTTTATCCACTTTCTTTATTAGCTGAAAATTTTTAAAGCAATTTTTAGCCAGACAAAAGACTAAATCTTGCAGTATTTTAATAAGAAGTTGTGTTTTTCTGAAATAGCTGTTAAATAGCTGAAATCCAGGGCTATTTTTTGATACCTAAACGAGCATTGTAGCATAAACCAGTGTCGAGAAAAACTCGTTCAAAGCTAGGCTACACAACGCTCCGCACCGTCATTATGGGGGTGGGGTACTATTACAGTATTTACGTACAGTATTTACGGTAGGTATACTTAAATTTACAAACCTTAGCTTCTAGAACAAGAAATTTCTATAAGAATGTGAAGAAATCTGAAAACATTCTCAATTCTAAATTTTTCGACTCTCCGTCAAAACATTTGTACAAATTTTTGGCAACAAAAGTGTGATGATTCAGGAAAAGTTTCGGGGAAATTCTCAATCGAGATCGGCTAACGATAAAAAAATCATAAAATTTCTTTCATTAATTTAGGAAAAAGAATTTTTAATTATCTTTTGGGTAATTAAAATATGATGACAAGATGGGGCATAATAAGAAAAACAATAAAAAAAATAAATTCCCTTATTCTTTTCCCGTATTTGAGTACGTCCACTTTCGCGCAGAATAGAAATAGAATAGAAAACAGGGTACCTCGAATACAGGACCGCCTTATATTCGAGGCGGTCTTCTATTTTTTCGATCATCCCCTAGAAACCGTCTTCTATTCGAGACGGTCTTATAATCGAGGCCGATCTTATAGTCTTATTGGTCTACTATTCGAGTAAATACGGTATTTGAAGTCGGTCATCTAAAGCAAGAAAAAAGAGGAATGCATCGTCTTTCCAATGGCGTGGAGATGCTCATCAATAGTAGAAAATGGTAGAATTTGAACATAGAAACTGTTGAGCAAGTTCACGCGTCGTTTGACATGGATCCGATTCGATTGCAGCCCTCAAAGTATCGTTGTCTACCGCTTGAGGTCGACAACGATATTCTTGACGAGAGTGTCCATCAAGAGTTTCGGGTTGTAGAAGCTCAAAATAAACAAGACCCTTGATATTCCACCATACTGAGAGCATGACCTTTTTCCCATGAATGTCCGGTTTCACGGTCGGATTTGGCCGTTCTCCTGGTCCTAGCCATTGCCGTATTTGAATAGTATTACCGAAATAGATCCACTTCTCATCTCCAGTAACGAGAGAATTAAAAAAGCCAAGATCTCTCCTCATCCGCCCCACAGGGGGGGGTGTTCCGGCACCAGCCCGGCCCCGAAGCCTTTTTGTACTGCTTAACTCGTGAGGAAGCCATTTCCCGCATCGTCTTTCCAATGGTGTGGAGATGCTCATCAATGGTAAAATTTGAACATACAAACTGTTGAGCAAGTTCACGCGTCGTTTGACATGGATCCGATTCGATTGCAGCCCTCAAAGTATCGTTGTCTACAGCTTGAGGTCGACAACGATATTCTTGACGAGTACCCAATTTTCCACGGAATTTAAATCTTATTACAGTTTTAAAATAAATTCTTTCGATTTTGAGTTATCACAATTTGCGTGAGCTCTCTGGTCGCACCAGTTATTAGTAAAACTGCTTAACGAGTCTGAAAAACGAATTTTAGATCATTTTAGATAATTTTAGATCAGATCATTTTAGATTTCAGATCATTTTCAATCAAAATTTTTCCAGACTCGTTAAGCTTATCGAGTCGGGTGAAAGTTTGATCGAAATCTAAAGAATGGCAAAACAGAACCTAGCCATGTTTAGTATCAAAATGAAGCTTAGAATAAGAGCTTGCGGGGGAACTGGGTTTCATACTCAAAGGAGGTTTGGGCAATGAAAAATCGAAGAGCGAAGCAGACTGTCTGAAAATTTTGCCCGGACTCGTTAAGCAGGTCTAGTTATTAGTATTACCAGTATAAGAAAATCTGTTAAACTAGAACGATTAGGAGTATTCAAAAAGTTGTTTATTAGTTGAGAAATATAGAACAGAGAAAAGAAACACGACTTTTTTTCAATAAGGTTTGCCAGCAAGCCCGTTTTGCCAGCAGCAATTGATTGTTTTACTTAAGCTTTAAAGCTCTGGTTTGCCAAAAAGTTGTATTAAAACTTAAAATTGAAATTTAAAGCCGCTTTTTTAAAACATCGTTTTTAACAACAGAATCAGAAGCAAAAGCAAAAAAGCTAAAAAGCAAAAGAATGCCAATAATCAGAAGCAAAAAATGAGTACAAGAAGATAAAAGTCATTCGAACACAGTGTGATAGTAGAGGGAATATGTAAGGCTACTTGTGGACGAGAAGAAGAGTTATGGGCATAAGAATGTGGGCAAAGAGAAGCGAAGAAAGCAAAGAAGAAAGCAAAGAAGAAAGTAAAGAAGAAAGAAAGGATTGGGGTGGGCAACAGCTGTCGCGCCACCCCCTCACTTCTCCACCTCTTCCTCCCACATCCAATCGGCCACTTTTTATGACATTGATACTCTTCTCGTAAAGCTTCACCGTTTTTGACCTCTCTTTCGGGATCTTGGAGGTGATCCAAGGCTTTTCTCCCTTTTTTTTGCGCCAATTGGCACGTCTGGTGACCTCTAAGTCACTTGGGGACTTTGGATGACACTTTCCTCTTCGCAAAGAGGTAAAAAGTTAGTTCCAAATTTTTTCAAAGCATTCGATCTTTTATTAAAATAATAAAAACCACAAAAAGATGTATAAATTAATCTCTAAACATTTAAAAAGTATTTATTTTTGAAGAATTACTGATAGTGAGTGGTACAAGGAGTATAAATCAGGAAGCCAGTCAC